CCAGCCCGAATGGCAGAGATCGAAAGACGTACGAGCGCCCATCGAATTGGAACCCGAGGAACTTCCAGTAGGAAGGGTGGATGTCAACGTGGTGGTATCCTGATTTTAAATCGACTGCAAACATCCAGTCGTCTTCATGAACGAGCTCTGCCACCCGGTTCAGTCCTTCGTACTTGAATTTGGGGATACACAAATTTTGGTTCACCCTTCGGAGGCCAAGAATCAGTCGGCACTATTCTCTTTGAACCACCACATTTAGCGGGCTGATGCATAGCTGTTGTTCCGCGGGGGCGGGTGTGGCCGCACCACTCTCGAGAAGCTCGGTTATTGCCTGCTTGGTGAACGTGGAATGGATTAGCGCTCCCGCGTGGTTGTCTTGCCGGAACGGCGTGGGTGGTCCATGCTTCCATGGCATCCAGTAGCCATTGGCGATCACCGAGAGTATGAAACTGCTCTCGCACCACGAGCTCCACCATGGAAATGCCGTGCGCAGGCGCCCACGCATGGTCGTGACGAGCTTGTCAGTGACCGCGAACTCATAGGGGCCACCCCCTTCGATCGTTCCACCCCCCGGCATATCTGTAGCCAGTGGACCATGGGTGTGGGGGCAACATGGGGCGTGCTTCGTGAAAACTCAAGACTCGAATTACACAAGGAAGTCAACGGAAAATTGTAGGTTCGGAAAAACCCCAGCGGCGGTTCGGTTAGGGAATCGGAAGCCAGTCCTGTCGAAACCCACGTGAAACTCTGGACCAATCGCGTGAGAGTGGTGACGCTCTACCATCCGACTCGGTAATTCGGGACGGACTTCTTTTAAGCAGGGGCGTTTGGCTAGTAGGTTGTGCGTACGATTAACTAGATCCAATGCCCGCAAATGTTCATGCTGACGCCCCTTCCCCTTCCCTCTCTCTCTTTTTTTTTTTTTTTTTTTTTTTTTTTTTTTTTTTTTGTGGTTCGTGAGACCTTTGCGTGCCTACACCTGCACTCTGGTGTTCTGAGATGTGCCCAACCGGAGGTGCTCCACCGGAGCAGCCCCTTCGTTCGGCCGCTTTGGCCCTTGCCTTTTTTTTTTTTTTTTTTTTTTTTTCACGTGCCGCATGCTCTTCGGATGGCCATTTGCTCCCTTCCATGTTTGGTAGGCCACCCTTTGTCTTGCATTATGGCGTGTGCTCTTGGCATCATGGGACCCCAAGTCCCACACCCACTCTTTCCTTTTTTTTTTTTTTTTTCCCCTTCACCCGTGATTCCTTTGCATTTCAGGGCTTGCATAGCCCGCAGATCTTGCCACTTCCCTTTTTTTTTTTTTTTTTTTTTTTTTTTTTGCTCTCTATCTCTTTCTCTCTTGTTCGCATGTACCGTAGGCTTCCATGCCGTATAGGTGTTCCCCGCTTCAGGTTCTTCCACACCTCAAGAGCGCATGCTCTTTTTTTTTTTTTTTTTTTTTTTTTTCAAGCGAGTCCAACAACTTTGCCCATTAGGCCTTCCCATTCATTCAAAAGAGCATACAAGCATTACTTGCAATCACATGTTCACCTAGGACTCCTAGTCCTACACCCCTTGCCTTGGGGTAGGCCCGCGGCCTTTCTAACATCCCCTATGGGATAGGCCAGCGGCCTTTACACTCCCTAGTGCCATCATCTCCATTCAAGCCTCTCGGCACCGCCCCCTAGGGCGTTCACACCACCGGTGCCGGCCCTTGGGCTCCTCCCCCATTTTCCGGGCAAGCATTGGCCATGTGGCCTGGCTGCCCACAACGGAAGCATGAACCACGAAAGCTCCTTCCATTGCCGTCAAATGGGGGGCCGCGCTTGTTGCCAAATGCCATGGGCCCGCGCCCTCCGCCACGTGGGGTACGGTTGAAATTGCCTAGGCATGTGCCTCACCATCGTCGTCGTCTTCATTGTCGCTGTCGATGGGGTTGTTCATGACTGGAGCGGCAGCGGCGCGTGTGTCTTCGCCCCTTCCGGTTTTTGTCGTGCGAGCGCGCTTCACAGACTCCGTTTTCGCCTTTTCGCTTTTAGCAGAAATGGAAGTCGTGTTCGGTGTAGCGATTTCTTCCGTAACAGCAGGGGCCTGCTGCTGTAACAGGGACAAAAGCTGCTGCAGTTGGGCTGCAGTGAAGCTTGGCGCCACTTGCGCGTCAGGCCCCACAGGCGCGTCAGGGCCCACAGGCGCGTCAGGGCCCACGGGCCTGCGGCGCTGACGCGGACGCGGGGTGCCAGCCGCGCTGGTTGGCGCCGACTTGGCGCCTTCTGTCGCGGCCAGCGCCTGAGGGGCCACAGGGGCTCGAGGCACACCAGGGGCGTGTGCCTCGACTCCAGGGGCGTGTGCCTCGACTCCAGGGGCGTGAGCCTCGGTCGCGCCCAGCAGTACGTCGACGCCAGTCGGGGAAATTTCCCCGTCGTCTGCCCGACGCTTGTTAGGACGATCGCCGGCAATTTCGCGTGCGTTTCTTCCGGACTCGGGTCGAACAGAGGCGGTAGCGGTATTACCCTCGCCGTCGTTAAGTGCCATGGTTGCTGCGTTGTGAGCGAAAATGTCAGAGAGTAAAGTCGACGGGGATTGAAATCGGGGAAGAGACTTCAACTTCGCCAGCTTGAGAGTGGGAGACGAGAGTTGAGAATGAAAATCGGCTAAACCGTTTGAAAATGAGAGACGTGGGTGGAGGGAAATGACCTCCAGCCCACGTTTTGTACTCCAAAACGGGCGTTTAGCGCGGCTCGACGCTGCCAAATCCTACATTACAAGCAGCTTCGCTTTCAAAATACATAATTTTGATAAGCGTTACAGCTTTTAAAAATATACATATTCTCAAGCTTGTGTCCGGCCTACCCTCGGCCGCTGCTTTGGCACCATGTTACAAGCCAGGAGAGCTACCTCTGAGTGACCAATAGCCCCGCCGTAGGGACGTCGATAATTCCTAGAGCTTCCGCTGCGCTCTAGCGACTTCTTATTTCCAACACCTCGCTGGAGTGCCGCAGGTCTGTTAACCTCATTCCAAAAAACACAAATGCCAAATACCCTTGTCGACTTATGCAGTTCCCATTCCCATTGCAATAGTGCCTTTCCTCTCCCACCTTCTCCTTCTCCACCTGCAATCTTGACTCTCCCTGAGTCCCTTGAGCTTACCGTAACACTTGAAGGTACAGCTGGAGACTGACAGTCAGAGTTTGACAGGTGAGGCCCAGACAGCCCTCATACACCATATAAGCAGACTCAAAGCCCATTAGATCCATGGCATGCCCAGCCCTCATACACCATATAAACAAACTCTAAGCCCATCAACTCCATGCCATCCACCAACCCTTGTACACCATATAAGGTGACTCAAAGCCACCAGATCAAAAGCATCCTACCCTCGTACATCTCGCAGAGGTGTTCAGGGCGCCAAGCCTCCACCATCGGCTACCTCACCACATTCTTGGTTGGAAGCATCTTCTGAGGCGCCTCAGAAGTCATCATGTACGGCAACACATCAGTGCCACATCAGATCCAAATTAAATCAGATCCAAGGCATCCAGCCCTCGTACATCTCACACAGGTTGTCCGGGCTCCAGGCTTCCACCATCAGCTGTCGCACCACCTTCTTGGTTGAAAGCATCTTCTGAGAAGTGGAAGGCTCGTGCAATGTGGAGGTGCTGTTGCTGCTGCATACGGGAGCGCCAGAGTTGGAAATGAGGAACGGAAAGAAAACGAAACAACTGGGAGGTTAGCGCGGTGTAAAAACGCAGGGTAGAATGAAGGCAGGGTGGGTATGATGATGAGATGTGGAGTGCAAGGCTTGGATGGACAAGGGCATGTTACCAAGCAGTGGCGGCAGGGAGTTTATGAGAAATCTAGAAAACGACCTACAAAAGAATGGTGAACAGATGTGGAGGGAGAATGGTTCGGATTGGATGGTTTGTGACATCACTTTTTTGGGGCGGCGCCTAAAAAATCGTCTAAAAAAAATGAGGCGCTTCAAAAAAGGTGGAGGAAGAGCGGATTGGTTTGGATGGATCTGTGCGGGTCACCTTGCAGTGGCAGCAGGGAACAGAAGAGGGTCTTGCTTGTTGAGCTTCTGCTGCAGGTGCAATATGACCTGCTCCGCATGCTGCCTTGCCTTTGCCCCTGTCAAGCAAGACAAGCAAGTCCCGCAAGTCAAGGGGGTCAAGCAAGTCATGCAAGACAGGCAAGTCAATCAAGAAAGACAAGTTAGGAAGGTTGTGGAACGCATACAGACATGATCGGGGATAGGGGGGACATGGGAACCAGGGAGATTCTAAGGCCATGGTGACAGGAAGCAGCACTCACCGCGCCGACTCACCGCCAGCACAGCACCATTCAAAGCTTCCGTCGACATTCGTTTCAGAATGCATCCTGTAGTCCCTCAACACAACAACGACAAGTAGCAAGATGATCCCAGGCAGGCAACGAGGTACACACGAAGCACGCCTGCACTCACCACGCCTGCACACTGCCAGCACAGCGCCATCCAGCGCTTCCGCTGAGACCCGCCCCGCTGGCGGCGATTCTGATGCCACCTCAGCGTCTCTCACCGCTGGCACCGCTGACTGGGATGCCAGGTGGCAGCGCTTGGAGAGTCGGAGAGTGTGGAGGGCGGAGAGGGTGGTGTGTGCGAGATGGCAGATGGATGGGAGGAGGGAGGAGCATTGCTGGTGCAGGACGGAGGAGAGGTTGAGGAGAGAGGAGAGGTGGTGGGGGTGAGAGGAGGGAAGGGAAGATGTTGTTCCTTGGACCTGCGAGGGAGAGTGAGTGGGGTTGGGAGGAAGGCAGGTTGGATATTCTGAGACACAGATGCCGAGGGAGTGATACGGCGAAGAAATGGCTGCTGATTCGATATGTGACACAAACACTTAAGAAAAAAAAAAGTATGCATGGTGCATGCGCATGAATGATTTAGCATGGCCGTCATGGGCCCACCATGCATTGGAGGGTGGAGCATGATGGGTGGGGTATGAATAGACTCAATGAAGTTCGGTCCTCTTATCAGCACTTACTGCTTCAAGCAGGCCGATGAAACTGCGGCACTCCGAATGCACTTTATTGGCGGCCGAGACAATATCCGGTGTGATTATAGCAGAAAGGACTGAGCCCTGCACTGCAGACGCCGCGGCAAAGGCCTGTTGGAGAGAAGCAGAGTGTTAGGGAGCAAGAGAACGAGATGAGATTCTCGCCAGAATTGTTAAACGAGATGAGATTCTCGCCAGAATTGTTAAACGAGATGAGATTCTCGCCAGAATTGTTAAACGAGATGAGATTCTCGCCAGAATTGTTAAACGAGATGAGATTCTTGCCAGAATTGTTAAACGAGATGAGATTCTCGCCAGAATTGTTAAACGAGATGAGATTCTCGCCAGAATTGTTAAACGAGATGAGATTCTCGCCAGAATTGTTAAACGAGATGAGATTCTCGCCAGAATTGTTAAACGAGATGAGATTCTCGCCAGAATTGTTAAACGAGATGAGATTCTCGCCACCTCAGAAATCAGATGTCCAATTGAAGAACTGTTGGAGTGTTGGAGAGGCAAAGTGCTAGAGAGGCAGAGTGTTGGCATGAGATATAGAAAAAACGGAGGGCAAGGAGAGAGAAATGGCAGGAACGATGCAGAAAAGAGGGATGGTGACAGCCTGCCTGCGTGATTAGCTTGACCAGCATTGACGAGCATTGACCAGCACTGACCAGCACTGACCTGGCGAACGAGAGGCAGGATGGAGTGGGAGAGGAAGGGGGCGAGGCTGGCAGCAGCCAACGAGAGGCCTGCTGCTGCTTGGTGCGCTTGAGAGAGGGCCGCACTATGATTGGCTGACTGCTCCTGCAGCGTGACTGAAACAGGGGGGTTGATGGGGAAGGAGAAGATGCACAGAGAAAAGGGAGCAACAGGGTGAATCTCAGTCAATCATCTCATTTTGGTCAAAGAACTTGCCAGTGGAGGTGAATTCACATAGATCTTAGAAACTTTTTACGACATCTGAGATTGGATTAGGGCACCTGACCTAACATCCTGTTAATTCACCTGACAGCCTGTCGACCAGCTTCTGAGCTGCCAGCCGCGCTTCTGTTGTTTCCACCTGAGCCGCCCGAGCCGCCCTCTCTGCCTGCTGTGCCGCCTGCAGATGGACTGACGAGGCTGCTTGGACGAATGGGCGAGGGGGAGAGGAAGAACTTTGAGATTCATGAGAATATCAAACTTTGCGATGTTTGAGACTTCTCAATGGGTTAAAAAACGTGCTGCCTGCAAATGGGCTCAGGAAGCTACTAGGAAAGAGGACTCTGAGTGATGCAGCACAGGTATTGTGGTGAGGAGAGAAAACAAAGCGGGGAGTGGGATGTTTGGGGCGGATGGATGGGGACGAGGGGCGGAGGGAAGGGGGGGGGGGGAAACATGCGAGTACGAGAAGAGCCCAATATCTTCCCTCTCCCCTTCTCACCTGCCACGTCAGCAACTGCCCTGTCTACGTCCATCAGCAGCGGCCCATAAACAGCCGCAGCTGGCCGGCCGCCAGCTGGCAGCCCCGACGGGAACAGAGGCACTGGAGAAGTAGCAGGGGCAGCAGCAGCAGCACTGGCAGCAGCAGCAGCACTGCCGGCAACAGCAGCAGTAGCAGTGGCAGCAGTAGCACTGGCCACAGCAGAATTAGCAGCAGCATTGGCGGCAGCACTGACAGCAGCAACAGGGTCTTTGACAATCCTGCCATCCCTGCCAGCCTCTACCTGCAGCACTCGCCCCACCACCTGCACCACCCGCCCCACGCCCTCGTGCCCCCCCCACAGCACCTGCCGCCGCCGCTGCTTGCGCTCCAAGTACGCCGCGGGGAGAGAGGTAGGCGTTGCCGCTGCTCCTGCCCTGCCACCGGTGCTGCTTCTGGTGGCACTGCCAGTGGTACTGCTGGTGGCAGTGGTGGTGCTACTGCTGGTGGTGGTGGTGCTGCTGCTGCTGGAGGAAGTGGTGGTATACCACCAGAAGAGCAGCCGGTCCAGGTCAGCTTCTACAGTGGCGCCGGCCGCCTCCGACATCTGGATGGCTTCCGTTGTCTTTAGCACCACAGCCAGATCGGCGCAGATTTGGCTTAGCAGGGCAGTGCGTGAGGGGGGTGGCGATGGTTGCAGCTGCTGCTGGTGCTGCTTCTGGTGAATGCTGCCAGTACCACCACCACTACTGAGCCCAGAAGCATCATCACCAGCGGCATCACCAAAGCCACTAGAGTTCGCTGCCAGGGTGGCAGCAACAGGGACAGGTGTCACACAGCCAGCTGGCAGCTGAGGCTCGTGCAACCAATCAAAGCCTGCCAGCTCAGCACGTGCAGCAGCAAGGGCTGCCACGTGTGCAGCGTGCATGCGCGGGGATGGCACGCAAAGACTCGAATCGTCAGCCGTGTGCTGCTTGCTGGCGTCAGCAGAACGCCTGCTGACCTCAGCCTGGCAGAACTGGCCAATGAGGGACGAGAGCTGCAGAACTTGCCTGTCAACACCCACTGGAGCACCATCAAATGCAGCACCAGCAGCAACGGCAGCACCAGCAGCAGTGTTACCCGAACCACTAGCAGCAGCAGCAGCATCACCAGAACCATCGACAGCAACAGCAACAGCAGCATTGCCTGAACCACTGGCAGCAACAGCGGTGGCAGAATGAGCATGGAGCACAGCGGACAGATTGGCAGGATGCACGAACCCACACACCAGACCCTCCACTAGCGGCCCCACACACTCAGTAGTGTATGCCCTCAACCAATCACGAATCGCCACATGGATCTTCTTGAAAAGAGCAGCTTCTCTACTCTGACTTCCCTCCTGCCCCTCCAAGTCCTCACCCCTTCCTTCTGCCTCTGTGCCGGATATGCTTTTCTCGATACTCTCCTGCTTCCCCTCCTCAGCTCGCCCTGCGTTTGCTGCCTTCCTCTCAGCCAGACAGGCTCGCAGCACTGCAGCCACCAGTTGCACCCGCACCACAAACAGACGAACTGACGGAGGCAGACGGAGGAGAGGAGTGGAGGTTGCTGCTGGTTTTGCTGCAGCAGTAGTGGTGAGTGGAGCATCAAGAGCAGCAGGGACAGTGGAGGTTGGGAGGAGTGATAGGAAGGCAGAGTGCGCTGCTGCAAGAGAGTCAAACGACCGGTAGAGGTGGATCAGCGCGGTGCTGGAAGATGGAGATGGGTCAAGGGGATGGGGCGGAGCAGGGAGAGGAGAGAGAGGAAAGAGAGGAGAGGGAGCAGGGCCTGAAAGCGATGGTGCCGATGCTTCAACTGCTGGAGCTGCGGATCCTGCTGCTGCTGACAACGCCGATGCTGCTGGTGGTGGTCCTGATGCTGGTGATGCTGATGGTGGTGTGGGTGCAACAGCAACGCTAGGAACAGTGGAAGCAGCAGCAGCAGCAGCAGCAGTAGCAGCAGCAGCGGCTGCAGCAGCAGCACTAGCAACAAGAGCAGCTGCTCTGGCTGATGCTGCCTTGGCTGCTGCAACAGCTGCCGTTGCAGAAGGGGAAGAGATCGACAGGGGAGGCATAGGAGGAGGAGCAGAAGGCGCAGCGGCAGCAGCAGCAGCAGGCAGGGATGGGGAGTAGGGAGCAGCAGTGTGGTGTAGCATGGCCTGTCTGGGCACGAACGGGGCGGCATGAACAGTGTCCGCCAGCTGGAACTTGGGCTTGGGCGGCGGCGAGGGGGCGGGGGAGAGGGAGGAGGAGGAGGAGATGAGGGAGGATGGGGAGGAAGAGGGCTGAACGGAGGAGGAGAGGGAGGACGAGATTGAAAAGGCAGGGGAAGGGACGAAGGGAGCGGGGAGAGGGGAAAGGGAGCTGAGAGGTTTGTGTGGTGTAGGGGACTGAGAGGGTGGGGAGGTGGGAGGGGAATGTGGAGAGACAGCAGGTTTTGGTTGCGACGGCTCCTGCTGCTGTGCGAGGGAAGGAGAGGACGGTGCAGAGGCTGCCTGCTCCGTTCCCTTGTTGCCTGGCTGCTGCTCCCCTGCAACCTCTGCAGTAGTGGCAGCATCACTAGCACCAGAAACATCAGCACCAACAGTATCAGCACCAGAAGCAGCACCAGCACCAGCACCAGCACCAGCACCAGCACCAGCACCAGCACCAGCAGCTGGAGCAGGAGCAGAAGCAGCAGGGAGTGAGCCCATGAGCTGCTCTATAGCCCTCTCCTCCTCCTCCAGAGCACCCAGCAGCCATGAGTCACCCTCTTCCACGTCACCACCCACACCACCACTGCTGCGTTCCTTCCCCCCTCTACTATCACCATCCGTACTGTCACCCCTCCCCCCTCCCTGCACCAGACGCTCAATCCTGTCAGAAGCTTCCAGGAACTGGGCCACAAGAGGCGATGAGACAGCCTGCTTATCTAGTGACGAAGCTGCACTCGACATGTCCGGAACGGGGCTCGAAACTGGGCTCGGAAGTAGGCTCGGAACGAGGCTCGGCAGCAGGTGGTGGAGGTGGAGGGAGGAGAGGGAGCGAGCAGAACGAAGCGCAGCAAGCGCTGCTTGCAAGGATTCTCTGTAGCAAGCAAGAGGAACGACTGGGGGAAGGTGCTCTGATACCATTGGAGCTAGTGCGGACTGTGTGCCACCACTGCCTGCTGCAGCAACGAGGTGTGCATGATGTGTGCCTGACGCACTGCTCGCTGCAGCAGCTGGATCTGCAGTAATATCACCACTGCCCACAGCACTACCAGCACCAGCAGCAGCATCAGCAGCACCAGCAGCAGCAGTAGAAGCAGCAGCAGCAGAAACAGAAGCAGCAGTGGAAACATCAGTAGAAACCACATCAGCATCATAAGGAGCAACAACGCCGGCATCAGGAGCTGTGTCTTGAGAGAGTGAAGGACGTGCAGGCAAGCGAGCAGGAGGGGTAGTGGGAGGCGAGGGCACAGGGGATGAAGGAGAGGGGATTGATAGAGGGCGGGGTGACAAGGAGGGTGGGGAGAATGGCAGGGAGGGAGTGGCAGGAAGGGCAGCAGGACAGAAAAGAGTTGGTTCTTGCTGCGTTTGTTCTGGCTGTCTTGCTTCCTGCTGCTGGGACTCAGACAGTGCCACGTGCTGCTCGCCTACACACGCCTCCACCAGCTCAGCACGCCCACTGCCCTGTGTCACGCTCACACCACCAACTGTCAACTGAGTCAGCAAAGACGCCAGAGCAGAGCCGAACAGAATCCTGCCTTCCACTCGTGCCACCTCCTCGCGAAGCACTACCTCTCCTCCCAATCCCTCCTTCCATGCTCCCAATTGCGCTCCCTCTGTCTCTGATTCCTTCACACCTGATCCCTCTGCCTGCTCGCTGACCATTCCTTCAACCCATGTTCCTCCTGTCTTTTGAGAATTCTCAGAAAACCACTCCTCTCTGGAAGCATCACTGTTAGCAGCAGCAGCAGCAGCACCAGCTGCGCCTTCTGTTGTGGCTGCTTCTGTGGCAGCTGCTGCTGCCAGGCCAACAGCCGTCACCAACAGATACAACCTTCCCTGGTTCCCAACTTTCCTGCTCCCCCCTCTGAGAACTCGCTCAATCTCCTTCACCACTTGCTCCTCCTCCTCCTCACCCTCCTCTATTTTTGTCGTCTTCTCTGACTCTTTCTCACTGCTCCTCTCCCCGCCCACAACCCTCCAAGCGTCCTCTACAGCCGTCACCAGCACCTGCCTTCGCTCCACCAATCGCTCCTCACTACTCCTGCTGCTGCCGCCGCTGCTGCCGCTGCCACTGCTACTGCTGCGACCGCCACTTTCACTGCCAAGGCCCTCTACCATCCCTTCTCCTCCTGGCAGCGCCCACACGCGTCTCCCACCCCCCACCCCGCCATCCACCCGCCCCATCCCATCCAGCACCTCTCTGGCAGCCCGCGCCTCATCGCGCATCTCCCTCTCGCCCACACCAGCAGGCAGAGCTCTCAGCCCTGCAGCTGTCACAGTGGCTTCCAGTGCACGCGCCCACCGGCTTACAGCGCTCGTGCTCAGATACGAGTTGATGCAGACAGTTGCGGTGGGGAGGGGGGCGTGCAGTGGTTGCCTGCTACATACCTCTTCCACTTCACCTTCGCTCGCAACCTGCTCAGAAGATGCTACTACTGTTCCCTGCGCCCTGCCTCTCTTCCCTCCCGTCACCCCCACCCCGCCTGCCACCACCGCAGCCTCCCCATACGCCCTCAGCCCGCCGACCAATCGCAGCACGGCACGGCAGCGCGCGGCCGCCAGCTGGCACACGTGGAGGTCCAGCTGGCGACAGCTGGCACGGAGAGCCTCAGGGATGACGGCGAGGGGAAGCAACGTTGGCTGCTGCGGCTTCTGCTGCTGCGGCTGCAGAGGAGCAGAGGAGGGAAATGGATTGGTAGCGATATCCAGAAGAGAGAGCGTGCTGCTAGGCACTGACGCTACCGGCTGTGATGAAAGTGATAGTGACTGGGACGATGATGTTGATGGAGATGATGAGGAGGGGGAGGATGAGGAGAGGAGTAACGGCAGGGTGGCATCCGCACGGCCATCCTGCCATGCCATGTTGCCCAGTGCAGCAGCAGCCCACCGCCTCACATCCTCCCCCATCAGCCATCCAGCAGCACGGGCGCTGCCACTCCCACTCCCACCACTCTGACTAGGCGTGGGAACACCAGAGACAGTGACAGCTGGCGGCAAGGATGGTGCCAGCTCAGCAAGCGCTGCCCGCTTGTCGTCCAACCACCGCCGAGCCTCGCCCACGGCATCCATGGCTGCTGCGGCCTTAGCTTCGGCGCGCCGAGCCTTCCCCCGATGCTGGTCGCCGAGGCGAGAGAGGGCTTCCATGGCTGCTCGCAGCGTTTGCCTGGAAGCTTCCTCTTCCGTGAGAAGCTTCTTAGAGGATTCCTGGGCTGCTACGAGGTCGGAGCGAGCCTGATTCTTGGATTCTGACGTGTCAATAAGAAGCTGATGTGGCGCAATGGGATTGTACAAAAGATAAAGAAGGAAAATGAGAACGAGAAAATACACGAGGTGAGCTGAGATATGTTGCGCAATGGGAACGCTAAATGTAGAAGCGCCATCAAGTTTTTCAGACCTATCAGAACGGAAGGGAACACTGCAGCAACACAATGAGACAGGCCCCTGCTTTCCCTTCCATGCGCTCGGCACAACCACTCATTGCACATTGACTCGTGAACAATGCCCCAACAATGAATAGCTGAATCCCACCCCCCAAACCCTAGACCACAAACCCTAAATCCCGAACCCGAGTGACTACACTCTGGTGCAACATTGAACGACGCATGCTTCACACGACGGAGATGGAAAGTGCATGTGAGTCAAACCTGAACAGACACAGCAGCTGACTTGGCGGCATCGGATAGGCTGAGAGCCAACGTCTGCACACAAGAGAGGGCGGCACAGACACACACACAGATGTGGCAAGGAAGACTGTTGCAGTGAGGTGCATTGAGATGAGAACTGTGTGCATGGCATAGAGAGGGCGGATTGAAGCACGCGGGTGTGGAGTGGAGGAGCTGACATCAGCAATGCTGAAGCGAGCTAAGAGTGCAGCAGGGTCAGAGCAGTGGTCAAGACATGAGAAAGCACATTCTGTTCTGTGGACGGCTGAAGGCACAAGCACAGTGACAATTGAGATGATGGCAGCGGTTGGAAGGGCAAAGGGGATGCAGAGGCATGGTGGGCCGGGGAGTTCAATGGGGAAGGGAGGGGGGGGAAAGGAGGGAGGTTGTAACGGGGAAGTGGAAGAAAGAACGGGGGAAGGAGGGCATAGGATAGGAGAGGAATGGAATCTGACCAGGAGGTAGGGACCGGTGGAAGAGGAGGAAGAGGAGCAGGTAGAGTGGGTCAAGGCATGAAGTGTCATGGCAGCACCAAGCATCGCCTCCACTGAAGCTCCCATTGCCCCTCCCTTGTCTGAGCGTGCAGCAGCACTGATGATCTCGCTGCTGCTGCCGTTGCTCTGCTGCCACCCTCCCCAGGTGCACCTCCCCCTGGGTTCGCCCAGTGCAGCAGCGCCTGTCACCACCTCCGCCTCCCACGGCAGCAGCGCCCCGTCCCAGATACCACCTGGAAATGCAGGCCGAGGAGCAGCCTCGGGGTTGGCTTTGGTAGGGGCGGGAGCTGCTGGCATGGCTGCAGCAGAGGGTGCTGGCATGGCTGCAGCAGAGGGTGCTGGCATGGCTGCAGCAGAGGGTGCTGGCATGGCTGCAGCAGAGGGTGCTGGTGCAGCAGCAGTACGGGCAGCCGCAGGAGCAGGAGGAGCAGGTTTGGGAGTGGCAGTGGCAGCAGCGGGGGCGAGCGGGCCTCCCCACTCGTCCAGAGGGTCCCAGAGGAACGCACTCATAAGTGCAGGCAGCAACGCCCCTCCTGCTGCTGCTGCACTCCCCGTTCCTCCCCCCATCCCCACACGCTCTCTTCTTCCAAGCCTTGCTTTTACCCCAGCAGCAGCAGCAGCAACCCCTTCCCATTCACCCCCAATCCCGCCCCACTCGCCCCCACCCATCAGCCCGCCCCGCATAGCCTCAAACGCGGCGACAGCAGCAGAGACGAACGGGCCGGACGGGGAGAGAGCACCGGGCAGCCCCATGGCTCCCCGGAGCGTGGTGGTGAGGCGGAACGGCACGAGCTCCGGCACCTTGAGCAGGCGGCCCCTGTCAAACGCCACCGTGAAGTCTATGTGCACCACTGAGCCGGCAGAAGAGGTCGAAGCGAGGGCGGAGGAGTGAGAGGAAGAGGAGGAGGAGGAGGAGGAGAGGTCCCAGAGGATGTTGTCGAGGTGGCGGTCGCCGATGCCAAGGATGTAGCCCGCTGTGCTGGTGACTGCTGTTGATGCTGTGTAGCTGGTGGGTGAGGGGGGGAGAGGGGAGCGAGACAGACGCGTGTGTGAATGGAATGGTGGGGATAAGGAAGGAAGGAGGACGCCAATATAGGTAAGGAAGGAGAAGGCGTTGAGAGAAGAAATGAGGAAAAGGAGGGATGTGTTGGATGTGAAGTGGGGGGGAATCGTTCCACAACTGCCAGAGGAAGAAAAAACACACACATCTCACCCCATACCCATTGTACCCCATGCCCATTGTACCCCACGCCCATCACATCCCATGCCCATCTCATCCCATGCCCATCTCACCCCATGGCCACCTCACCCCATGGCCATTCCATCCCTTTGCATCATTTCACTCACCATTGCTGCTTGCCCCACCGCCCCTTGGAGCACACCGTCGACCTCCAAGGCTCTAACCATCACATGACACATTGATGATATCCCCTCACATCTTATGCACATCACCATCTTTACACACTGATATCCTCTCACAATTGTGCCGTTTTTTATTCCCTCACACAATTCCACTACACTCACCGCTGCTGCTTGTCCCACCACCCCTCAGAGCCAGTCGTTGAGCTCCACATCTCCTTTGCCAGCAGCTGACGTGGCACCTCCCTTGCCAGCTCATCAAACACGCTGCGCTTCACGTCCGCCGGCCAATCAGAGCGCGGCGTGGAGCGGCTCATGCCTCTGGCCTGCAGCGCGGCCGCCACCTTGGCAAAGAACATCTCCGTGGGCCGCTGCACCACCGCCGCTGCTGCTGGTGCTGCTTGCGTTGCTACTGCCGGTGCTGCTGCTCCTCCTTTCCCTCCTGCACCACCACCTGCAGCACCACCAGCCGCACCAACCCCACCAGCAGTAGCAGCGGCAGCAGCAGCAGCGGTGGCAGCAGCAGCCTGGCGGGACTGCCACGCCTTATACAGCGAGTACAGACTATGCAACCCTTCAAGCCACTGGATCATGCCTGACTGAATCCCCGTAGGCACCACCTCATACTGCCTCACCGCCAGCTGTCGCTTCCTGGTTGGTCCGTGGCTCTGCATCAGCCCATTGGCTGCCTGGAAGAGCTGGGAGATCCGTGCGTCCAATCGGAGGTCCTCGCGGCCCTTGATCAGGAAGCTGCGATCCTGGCCGTCGGATCCGACGATCACGATGCGCTTCGGGCGGGTCTTGGTGCTGAGAACTTCCACTTTATCTCTCACAGCAGCGACTGTCACTAGCCCTTCATTATAAGCACATGAATTAATCAGAGCGTCAGGATCACTACTCCCTGTAACGAATCTGCTTGTAACAGAGTTGGATAAGCAACCAGGGACAGGGGCAGCAGTGTCCCTTAAAGCGGCGAATCCTGGTGCGACAGCTGGCAGCGAGAGGTACCGCCGCTGCTCCCTCTGCAGCGCCGCTACAGCCGCCTCCAGCGGGCGGCATTTGTCTCGTAGTGCGCCGCTGCTGACATCAGCGGGCGGCGACTGTAGCGCGGCTACAGCTGCAGCGATGAGAGGGCGGAGCTTGGGACGCAGATGGAGTTCCTGAGGTGAGAGGTAGGCCGCAAGGGCAGAGAGCGGAGTGCTGCTCGTGTGTGGGGCTGCTGCTGCTGCTGACGAATCATTAAGTGTGGCAGCATCTGCATCAGCTGCAGCAGTAGCAGGAGTAGCAGCAGCGAGAGTGGCAGCATCAGCATCCCAGATGTGCAGTATCCCCTGCAGACGCATCACCACTCCTGCCACTATCTCCTGGTACTTGACTTGGAAGGCACCTCGCACGGCCTCCTCTGAGGGGACAGACTGCACTGATGGTGCCGATGCTGCACTGCTGTTGCCCCCATGCATGCTTGCAGCAGCGGTAGGATTGGCAGCGGCAACTGCTGATGAGATTGCAGGGACTGAAGACCCATGTGCTGCTGCAGTCTCATCAGCAGTCTCGATACCATCGGCCACAGCACCAGCAGCAGCAGCAGCCGCGGCGGCAGCAGCATCACCATCTAGCAGCTCACCAGGCAGTGCTGTATCCACCACCCCCCTGCCATCATCCTCATCATCATTGTCGTCTTGAGCTAACTCCTCCCTCTCCCTCTCCCCTTCCCCCTCCCCCTCGCCCACCCCTGTCTCTTGCCGCTCCACCTCTCTCCCTGCTTCTCCCTCCGACCCCTCCCCCTCCCCTCCACTCCCCACAGCCGTAATCGCAACCCCCGGAATCACCGCTGCTAGCAGGGGGGTGCCTGCCAAAGCAACACCACCATCACTACCACCGCCAATAGCAGCAGAAGCAGAAGGAGCAGCAGCAGCATGTGCCTGCCTTAGCCCCTGTCTCTGCCCCACACGCACATCAGCAATGGCTGGGACGGCAACCGCTGCAGCAGCGGCGGCGGAGGAAGCGGAGAGTTGGTGGCGGGTGGAGAGGAGGAGGGAGGAGAGGGAGCGGTGGAGGAGGGAGAGGCAGGACTGAAGGGAGGTCAGCAATCTCTCTTCTGGCAAAACTGCCAGGCGATCGGCTGATGTCAGCAGCGCACGCGCTGATGTCACCATAGCAGGATGGTGGTGCTCCTGGAAGCGTGGGGTGGGGAATCGTGGAGAGATTGGGGGGTTGAGGCCGGCGCGGAGGAAAGAAGGCAGAACAGTTGGGAAAGGGGAATGACGGAGATTTATAAGAGAAGTTTTAGAGGATGAATAGAAGAGAAGAGCAACGAGGAAGGGCAGAAGGAAGCAGGCTTTTTGGCGAGTACCAGGAAGGAGAGAGCAGCTCGCAGCTGATGCCAACCAGGCGTGGCTTGCGATAGCGCCACGTGCCATGCCAGGTCAGCTGCCACGTCATCAACAGCAACTGATGCATCGGCAGCACTGGCAGAAGTGGCCGAACCGGCAGTTGTAGAGTTAGGAAGGAGAGCGGGAGGAGGAGCAGTAGGAGGGGCAGTAGGAGGGGCAGAAGGAATGCCAGTAGGAGAGCGGGCAGTAGGAGGGGCAGTAGTGGGAGGAGCAGCGGGAGGGAGGGAGGCAGTAGGAGGAGGAGCAGCAGCAGCAGGGAGGGAGGCGAGCGCGAGGCTGAGGTGCTGCAGGCGATGCTTCTCAGCTGCACACAGCCGGTACACCACCAGGGACGGGGCGGCGCCGGCCAATGAGAGCAGGACACGTGTCAGCTGCAGCCTGACTGCCGTGCTGCGCTGCGCCGATATCGCGGCCAGGAGCTGCGGGAGAATGGGCTGCATGAAAAAGAGGTGGGGAGGTTAGGAGGGGAGGGGAGGGGAATGAGGGAACCAAATTAGTTTGATACGCCTTAGCAGTGTCCTGCTGAGACTGTTCAACTGGCTCGGTTTGAACTCCTAGGGAGAATGAGAGAGAAAGAAGGAAATCAGTGCTGTATATATTGCTTATGTCTATAGAATGTACCCAAACCATAAATCAATGCTGCTCTCCACACACCTTGCATAATGAAAATGCCTGACGACATACCTGCCAGGCATGTGGCATCCAACATGTGCGAGCCATGCCGCACCTGACACACCTTGCATAATGAAAATGCCTGACGACATACCTGCCAGGCGTGTGGACATCCGACATCCACAGGGGCGGCAACCACGGGCGGCATATGCGAGCCGTGCTGCATGAGAATATCAACCACTCGCATCGCGACACATGTCAGCACCGCACTCCCACCTGCCACCGCCGCCCCGCATGACCCACCATCCTCCTCCATCCTCCCCTCCCACCCGCTCTGCTTCGCCCCACCCATCCCAACAGCCTCACACCCCTTCTGACCTCTCTCCAACCCCTGCGGCCATCCCTCCTTCCTGGTCATCGTATCTTCTCCCCTGCCATGCTCCCTTGCACCACTCACACTCCCTTTACTCCTCTTCCTGCTCTTCCTTGCGCCATCTTCCCCACTCCTCCCACCAGCCTCTCCTCCTTCAATGCACACCCCACCTCCCCCTCCTGCCTCCCCCGAGTACGACCCACCCCACCCAGACCCAGAGAGCTGCAGGAACCGCATGTACGCGCGGGCTGCCAGGTGTCGCGTTGACAGCGCGCGGAAGCGGGCGGCGCGCCAGGTGGCGAGCAGCTGATGCACCGCTGCTGCCACAGCTGCTGCCGCTGCTGGCGTTGCCACCGCTGCCACAGCTGACGCAGCAGCACCGCCAGCAACAGCAGCAGCACCGCCAGCAACAGCAGCAGCAGCAGCAGCATCCCCGCTGTTATCCTCGCCACAATAGTCCAGCTGCTCTCCTCCTCCCAGCACGGCTGTCATCTGTTGCACCACTGCTGCACTCAGCTGCTGCATCAGCTCCTGCCACAAGCACTCCTCTACCTGATCACTCGCCCCTGACACACCTCCCATGCACCTCGCATCCAACCCACCGCCCAACCCACGCGCCTCTACTGCACCCAGACCTCCCTCCCTGCTGCCCACATGCAATCCGTTTGGTCCCATGGCTTTGAACCGAGAGGGGGACACAGAGACGGGCTGGGCAAGAGTGTGGGAGGGCAGGGCGGGAGAGGCAGGAGGGGCTGGGAGCAGCAGTAATTGGTCCATGATTGCCAGACACGTGGCAGTCAGTGATTGGGCAGCTGGGAGCGCGGATGCTTGCGCTGCTTCTGCTTCCTCTGCTGCCGTTTCTGCCGCCTTGTTGGTGGCTGATGCAGCAGAGACGCCAACACTGGCAGCAGTATCAGCATCAATACCACCACCAGCACCACCGCCAGCAGAGACGCCAACACTGGCAGCAGTATCAGCATCAATACCACCACCAGCACCACCGCCAGCAGAGACGCCAACACTGGCAGCAGTATCAGCATCAATACCACCACCAGCACCACCGCCAGCAGAGACGCCAACACTGGCAGCAGTATCAGCATCAATACCACAACCAGCACCACCGCCAGCAGCACTAGCAGCATCAGTTTTGGCCAGCTGCAGGTGTTTCAGAAGGTCGGTAACAACACACAGCACTGTGTCCCTCTCTCCCTCCGTGAACCCAGCGGGAGCAGCCTCCGATGCACTACTTGTGGTATGCACCCCTTCACTTGCAGCAGCGGCGGTTTCTGCAGCAGCAGCAGCAGCAGGTGCTGCTGCTGCAGCAGCAAAACCGGCCCGTAGAGGAGAGAGTGCAGGGGAGAGCGACAGCGTGTCCGGTAGATGAAATGATGGTGGGGAGATAGCACCCTGCCCGGAGATTGATGCACCCATGCCGGACGTACCACCACCAGGAGCAGGCACAGCAGCATCAGCACTGTAATCGTCATCAAGAGAAGCAGGCAGCGCTGCTACCACATCCACCTCCTGCTCCTCCTCATCCTCCTCCTCCTTGTTTCTCCCCTCTCCTTCCCCTCCTGTGCTGTCGCCTTGCGCCACGTCAGCAGCAAGCGTGCCAGCATGGCGGGGCATGCGTGTGTCGGCAATGCAGTCCAGCCACTGGGCGTATGCCAGCCAGGCTTGCGACATCTCGCTGCATGCTCCCACTGCCGCCCACACCGCCGCCCCTGCTACAGACAAAAGATCCGGCTTTCCAGGGTTGGATTCTGATGCGGGATAAAATCGGCCGGCAGGATCGGTTCGGGTGGCTGGATCTGATTCCGGAGTGAAATTTGGTTGGATGGAATGGACGGCTCGGATTGAATCTGTGAAGGAGGATCCGGCGGCCATGGATGTGGCAAGCTGCTGTGACTGTACCCCATGTGACACTAACGGAGGGGGGAGAACCAAAGAAGACCCATTCGCTGTGCTGGCCAAGAGCCAATCCAAAGCTGCCAGCTGTCCCTTTCCTGAATTGCCCCCAACCCCATGGCTGAAGGAGCCAATGGGAAGCAGCCAGCTGGCGAGCTTGAGACACGCGTGGGCGGCGAGCGGATTGCAGTGAGGAGAAAGATGGATTGATGCTGACGCCAACGCTAAAGCTGACGCCAATGCTGATGCTGATGCACCTGCTCCTGTGTGTGCTGCGGCAGCAGATGGCATGGCAGCCATAGCTGGGCCACAGACGGACCACATACCTCTCACAGCATCCAGGTGTCGCCCATCCGCATGTGCCACCTCACACGCCTCTATCGCCCTCCACATCCCCAGCTCTTCTCTCACATCATCTCGCCAAACCTGCTGCTGCTCTGCCGGAGCGGCCACCGAACCAGACAGCAACCGGCTCGCCAGCCGCAGGTTCCCACCGAGCCTGGCCTGCCGGGCCAGATGCAGCCGAAGCACCGAGGCAGCTTCGGCATGCCGTGGCTGGGCAACATGGCAGGCTTGGAGCACCCCGAGCCAAGGGGGCAGCTCCCAGAGCAGCGAGCCTATGCCATCGTGACAGCTGGCAAACAAAGAATCTTCTCCTCCAAACCCGTTGGAACCAAACAGGTTGTGTATGTGGAGCTGACGATTCCCATCCCTGTGCTGCTTCTGCTGCTGCTGCTGCTGCTGTGATTTGTTCTGCTGCTCCGGTGCGTTGTACTGTTGAGGCGCCTCAAAATGGGGGTGCTGCTCCCGTGTGTTGGACAGTCCTACTAGTGTGCCCTGCAGGAGAGAGCATTCCAGTGCTGCTAGCGCCAGTGGCATGGCTGCTGCTGGGTTCACGGGATAGCCCTCTGCGGATAGAGACAACAGAGGCCGACCCAGCGCTGACCTGGCAGATTCCAGCCCATCCAGAAGCTGCTTCACAGAAGGTTCCTTGGGGTCAGCACCTCCCGCCAATACAGTTAACGCTGCCTCTGGCGTCCCTGCTGCTGCCAAACCTGTTGGTAACTCTGTTGCTCCTGCACCTGCTGCTGCTGCTGCTGCTGCTGCATGCTGGGATGGCTGAACCATTCTTCCCAAATACAGCATGGCAGCGATCGCATTGTGCCGGGCGAATCTAACGGCTGAGAATGCATCCAGGGATCGCACAGGAGCAGACAGCAGCGGCAGCGGCAGCAGCAAAGGTGGGGCTCGGTGGGCTGCTCTTCCCAACTCCGCGCTCCCAGCAAGAAGGTTGTCCGCAGAAGGGTTGGGGTTGGGGTTGAGGAGGAGCGGGTCGAAGCATGCGAGGGAGAGAGCTGATGACAGATCCTGCTGGTAATGAAGGCACGCTGATGTGGCAGCTTCAGCTGATTGGCTGAGAGGATTGGCCTGTGATTTATTAAGCCCGGGGTTGGGGAGGTGGGAGGGGATACAAGGAAGAGAGAAAACAGGAAGGGGTGAGGAGGGAAAGGGCAGAATCAGAGGAGGAAAGAGTAAGGGATTGGGACAAGGCAAGGGTACACTGAGGAGGCGAGGCAGTGTGTGACACAGCAAAGAAGAGAGCAGAGCACCCAGCAGCACCCAGCAGCACCTTGAGGAACGCCTGCAGCTGCTCCAAGTCCCCCACAGCGCTGTATACGTCTATCAGCCGCGCACCCATCACACACCCCTCGCCCTCCCCCTCTCCCCCTCCCTGTCCCTCCTTTTCTTCGGCTCCTAACTGCCCCGCTCGCCCCAACCCACTCTTCTCCACCACCCCCGTCGCCTTTGTTCCTCTTACCCCACCATCATCACCACCAGCACCACTACCACTATCACCAACTCTTCCTGTCTCCATCGCTCCTCTGTAATGCTCGGCAGCTTCCTCAAACCTTCCATCTGCCTCCAGCTCCATCCCCTTTAAGAGCCACACGTGTTTCTGTAGAAGCTCAGCTGCTGTTGCTGCTGCTGTTATTGTTGCTGCTGCTGTGCCTGCATTACCAGTGGCAGAGGCAGGAGCGTGCGGCAGCGATTGCACAAGCACCTGCAGCCACTCCCTCAGCCCAGCAATCGCATCTGGATCGCGGGACTGGCACAGACCGAACGCCAGGTGGCGCACTGCGTGAGTAACATCTGTCGCTGAGCTGGCCCACCCTTGCTGCTGCTGCAACTGCTGCAGCAGCCGCTCCCGCCCCCCCTGCCCATCCCCCTCCAGATCCTCATCCTCCTCCCTGTCTCCATCCTCACCCCACTCCCACTCCCACTCTCTTACTTCCACAGGGCACTTCAGTTCCCCTAGTTTCTTCCCTGCATGGAAAACCACAGCCCCATTCCGCCCCACCCCCAGCGCCAAATGCACCAAGCCTTCCCGGAACCTTCCGAACCACTCCTCGCACACGCGCCTGTTGGCTCGGAAAAAACCGAGGCTGTTAGGGTTGGAGGGTGGGGGGATGAAGGAATTTCCCTCCGTTGCTGACTGGACCTGCCTTTCTAATGCCTCCATGAAATCGAGGAGCGAGATCAGCGCCAGCTCATGCTGACGTGGCGCATCGGGGTCGAGTGCCAGGTCAGCACCGGTGCAGATGGGAGGGGGAGGAGTGGGGAGGTTGGGCTGGGGAGGAGGAGAGGGGGATGTGGAGAGAGAAGGGGAAGCGGAGGATGAGGAGAGGAGAGTGAAAGAGGAGGTGGATGGGGCTGGGAAGGAGGAGAGCGAGGGAGCAGGGAAAGGTGAGAGAGAGGGAGAGGAAGAGAGGGACAGTTGAGGGGATGAAGCTGAGGAACTACTCCCATATCCACCTGCCAAACCAGCTCCACCCGAACCTGCTGAGCTGGTTCGGCCCAAAGCTGAAGCCGAGGCTTCTTTCCCTCCTCTTCGAGTCCCTCCCTTCCCTGGCACCACCACCACCACCCCTTTGGGCAGCAGGGGCAGGCGGGCGACAGTGGGAGTGGTGGCGTCAGAGAGAGTCCGTTCAAAGGCTGCAAACGTGGCAGATGCCCCCCCGTAATGCGTGCGCAGCCGCCCGCTCATGCACTGCCGCGCCGCCAGCTGGACCAGCCACCTCAGCGCCAGCTCACCGTTCACCGCCGCCAGCTGGCGCCAGCTGTCCAGCTCTCCATCTGCTGCTTCTGCTTCAATTGATGCTGTTGCTGCTGCTGATATGGTTTGAGAAGAAGCAGTAGGAGGTGAGGGGAGAGAGGAAGTGGAGGGAGGAGAGGATGGGAGGGTGAGCAGGATCCGCAGCAGCCAATCAGGATGCGGCGGCGGTGCTGACGTGGACTGCTTGCGGGAGAGCAGGTTGAGAACCCCCACGAGCTGATGTGGCTTGAGCGGCAAATCACCTGACGCCGATGCCAGGTGGACTGGCAATTCACCTGAAGCTGCGGCTTTCAGGAGCCACATTTCACCTGAAGAAGGCCCACGAAGAATCTCAGGTGGTTTGAAATCGCGCGAAGGAGAGGAGAGTGAGAGAAGAGGAGAGGTGAGATGAGAGGGAGTGGGGGGGAGGGGATGGAGAGGAGGAGGGACGGGGAGAGGACGAGGGATGGTGGGGGAGACAGCAGCAGAGAGCAGCGCCTTCTGAAGCAACTCCTGCATTGCCTTGCGGACGCCGGGATCGTGGTCGCCGCCCGCCTGGAACAGCGCCACTTGCGCTACAGACAAAGCTTGCCAGCCAAAGAGTGCCCCTGTGGCTGCGAGAAGCGACAAGCTGTCAGCTGCTGCGAGCCAGATGGAGAGAGAAGGGTGGAGGAGAGAGGAGGTGAGATAGAGGAGGAGGCGTGGAGGGATGGTGGGGAGGGAAAGGGGGACGATTGAGTGGAGAAGTGACTGTGTGAATGCTGCCGCTGGTGATGCTGTTCCTCCTGCTGTAGGTGCTTGTGTTGCTGCTGACTCAGACAACGCTGACTCAGCCATTGCTGACTCAGATATCTGTCGAAGCCATGCCAGAGCCTCCAGCTTCAGACCAGCACACGCCTCGCCCTCCTGCAACGCCCACGCCACGTCACGCCAGCTAAGCGCCAGCTCAGCAAGCACAAGAGCAGCTGCAGATGCACCTCTGGTGCTGCTCCTAATCCTCCTCCTCCCAATCAAAGACTTGCCAGTGACATCCTTAGTGGGAACGGTACCGATCTCAGCACTTGTACATGTACTCTCTGATTTCGCAGAAATAGCATCCCCAGCGCCAGCAGTAGCAGGTGCACACAGGACTGCACTTGCGGCGGTGGCTCCAGCTGTAGTGGCTGTGACAATAACGGATGTGCTTGCAGTAGCTGCCGCATCGAACCCCAGCAGCATGCTCTCGCCTCGGAACGCAGCCTGAGAGGCGGCCCTCAGCCCGTGAAACGCCGCCACCTGGCAGCGCGGGAGTGGCCAGAGGCGGTGGGTCCAGTGGCGGAAGTCTGAAACAAGAGCACAGAGCAGCGAGGAGATCCCTTCTGCCATTTTCTGCTGGAGCCGCACTGCTGCTGCTGGTGCTGACGGTGATGGTGATGGTGCTGCTGCATCAAATCTCATGCTGTCGGCGCACAGCAGAGTGCCGCGGGTCAACCCCGAGGACAGAGCCACCAGGTCAAACCGTAGGAGCGCTTCCGCTTCCTCCACCGTCCAATCCCACTCCGCCACGTCAGCAGCAGACGGAAATAGGTCGGACCCATGCTGCCTGCACCAGCCTTCCAACGCGGAGTTGCAGTCAAAGAGGGTACGATAGCCCAGTGGGTGAATGGCCTTTCTCCTCTTCTTCCTCTGCTGCTTTCCTGCCCCGGTTTCCCCCTCGCCAGCAACCCCACCAGTCGCCTGGTTACCAGTGCTGCTGCAGTGTGTGGTGGGAATGACACAGCGGTAGCAGTCTCGCATCTCTGCCAGCAGGAAGGCAAGCGGCACTGACAGGGGGGAGCAGGGGAGAGAGTAGGAGGAAAGAGGGGAGGACGGCAAAGAAGGGGCGGCGGGAAGGATGACTGAGGTGGATGAAAGGAGTGTGAGAGGAGGGAAGGCGAGGAGGGAGAGGAGGGTGTCGGCTGCAGCGGAGGCGACAGCAGGGTGGGGGTGCAGGCGGAGGAGAGGGAGCGGGGCGTAGGGGCGGGCAAAGAGGAGCGCAGAGAAGGCTGCAGCCAGGGGGTCTGCTGCAAAGGAACTTTTGGGCAAAACGTCTTTCCCATCTCCTTCTTTCCCATCTCCTTCTTTCCCATCTCCTTCTTTTCCGGCTCCTGCATTTCGTACTCCAGTCGTAAGTTCGTCTTCTCTTCCCTGCAGCTGCTGCTGCTGCTGGCCTCGTTGATCTACTGCGTTGCACTCGACAGATACCACCTCCGCCAGTTGAGCCTGCAGCTCCGTCACACAGAGCCCGCACAGCGAATCAAGCGCCGCCAGGTGGCAGCGCAGCACGGCCGCGAGGGCGGGCGGCGGGAAGAGGCGCGTGCTGGCGACGGCGTTCAGGAGAGGGGCGACAGCTGGCACGTAGAAGCTTCTTAGAAACTGCCCAACAGGAGAGAAATGAGGCAGCGCCTCTTGGTGCTGCTCCTCCTGATGCTGCTGCTGATGTTCCTTCCCTTTCCACAACTGCGCGTGGTTACCACCAACACAAAGTGCCCAGACATAGATAGGCAGCACAGCCCACCACTCTGCCACCCATGTCACCCGTGCCACCCCTGCTCTCCCCACTGGCACCCTCCTCACCTGCCCTCCCCCTCCTGCTGCTCCCCCACTTGCTACTCCCCCTCCTGCTGCTGCCCCAATTGCTGCTCCACCTTCTGCTGCTGCCCTTGCGCCCCCTGCTGCCACTGGCACTGCTTTCCCACCATCTCCTCCCTCCACCTGAGAATCCACCTGAATGTCCACCTGCAGGAGATCTCGCAGCAGCACCAGCCAGCGCCGGAACAGGCTTTCCAAAGGAACCACCTGCCGCCATGATTCATCCTCTCTCCCAGCCGCATTTCCGTGCCTAACTGCTGCATTCCCAATAACCGCGCCACTCACACTTCCCCCAACAGCCCCGCTACGAGTGCTGGCACTAGGGACACCTCGCCAGCCTGTCACGCCGCCCAGAACAGCACTAAAAGACAAAGTCAGCGCGGCCAAGCGAGCATCCGAAGCGTCTGCCTCTTCTGCCGCTGCCGCTGCCGCTGCTGCTGCTGCTGCTGCCGCTGCCCTGCTCCTTCCCCCACCACCACTACTGCCAGAACCTCCTGCATTACCGACAGCCCCAGAAGCAACACCAGCAGAACCACTATCACCCGCCCCGTTACCTGCTTTCACCTCCGTTTCAATATCTCCCACCAATTTCAGCAGCACGTTTCGAGTGAATGATCCCTTCTCCCGCCACTGCCGGCCAAACCGCAAGAAACAGTCGCCGATAAGCTGCCGGCTAGCCGGCAAAACTGACGGCTCCATGGCCCACCCCAGCAGCAGGTCTATGATTTCTTCAAACTGCTGCAGGAAGGTTCCGGGAAAGCGCTCTGCGACGGCGACGAGGACGGAGAGGATGGGCGGGAGGAGCGTGGGCGGCGTTCCTTCGTCCTCTAGCAGGCCCTGACAGGCCTGCACACAGCTGGAGACGTATGGCTCTGATGCCGCCGCTGCTGCTGCTGATGATGCCGCCGCTGCTGCCGCTGCTGCTGCCGTCGCTGCTGCTGCTGCTGCGTTTGCTCCTGCCGGTGCAGCAGCAGCTGGGGCTGAGTTCGGATCTGGCAAAGGCGCGGGTGCCAGCTGGCAGAAGGGGGCAGCTGCCAGCAGGGCGAGGCGCGTGTTTGCCACGTCAGCATTGGGATCTGTGAGCTGGGGGAGGGCCCACGCAAAGAGACGCTCCGCTCCTGACAGGTAAAGGGGGGTGGGGACGATGGGGGAACGGGGGTCGAGCGAGGGTGGGTGGGGAGTGGGGAGAGAGAGGGCAATGGGGACTGGGAAGACACACACTGCCACTGTAGCGCGTGAGTGAGGTTCGCATTGTAAAACAACTCTGTGAGCGATATATTTGGAATTTCTCCACCATTCGGCATAACTGTGGCTGTGGTGGCTCCCCTCCCCATGAGTCATGACTGTGGCGGTGATACTGGATGATACAAACAGCAGTGGCATTATAACATAAGCGAGACTCGCATTGTAAACCACCCATTCGGCCACTCCGGCCGGCCCTATCAGCCGCCCAATCAGCCGCCTAATTCAGCTGCCCAATCAGCTGCCCACCCACCAGCCCTCCTCCTCACCACCCCTATTCAAAAAAATCTCTTATCCACCTGCAAATGAGACGGCGACAGCTGGCAGAGCTGCAGCGCCTGGAGAAAGAGGGGTCGATTCGGACGAGAGGCGCACCGCCGCTGCAACGCCAATGGCAGAAGCAGCTGCTGATTGGATGACCGCATCCCTGAGCAAGAGGCAGTGCGTCGGGGAGAGAGGTTGGATGGGGGGGAAGGGAAAGAGTGGGTTTGGTGGTGTTTGTTGTGAGCATCTTTTTGTAATTGTAGTGTGATTGTACTGTAATTGTAGTGTGGCTTGTAGTGCACCCCTCCGCGTGACGTCATACCATGCTAGAAGCACACCTGTGTGACGCCATCCCCTGCTAGAGGGACAATTGTGTGACGTCACCCCCTGCTAGAAGGACAATTGTGTGACGTCACCCCCTGCTAGAAGGGCAATTGTGTGACGTCACCCCCTGCTAGAAGGACAATTGTGTGACGTCACCCCCTGCTAGAAGGGCAATTGTGTGACGTCACCCCCTGCTAGAAAGGCAATTGTGTGACGTCACCCCCTGCTAGAAGGACAATTGTGTGACGTCACCCCCTGCTAGAAGGACAATTGTGTGACGTCACCCCCTGCTAGAAGGACAATGTGTGACGTCTCCCCCTGCTTGAAGCACACTTGTGTGACATCACCCCCTGCTTGAAGCACACTTGTGTGACGTCACCCTCTGCTAGAAGCACACCTGCGTGACGTCACCCCTGCAAGAAGCACACCTGTGTGACATCACCCCCTGCTAAAAGCACACCTGTGTGACATCACCCCCTGCTAGAAGCACACCTGTGCGCGAGCAGGCGTTCGAGCAGCATCCAGATGCGACTGGCTGTGGGCTCCCAGGCGAGCAATTGAGATGCCATGGGCGACTGGAGTAGTGACGCCACTCGGCTTATGGACTGCACCTGAGGCAGGTTATAACGGAGATGCAATGGGAGTGAGTGGGACGTGAAGGGATAAATGGGTGCATTGACAAAGCTGCTGAAGCAGGTTCAAAGTGGGTTACGAAGCAGAATAGGGACGCACAAAACCCCAGACTCCAACTGCTCTCACATGACGAATGACGTTGAAGGAGAGACGTCTTTATAAAGCTAATAAGCGAACTTCTTAAGGGCCCACCTCTTGAGGCAATCCATCGCCTCCAGCTGTCGAGAAACGACTGGTGGCTCCAGAATCGCTGGCCGCTCCGCGCAACGCCACGTCAGCGCCGATTCCCTCCGCTGCCTCCTCAAGCCACCGCACAGCCCGCGCGCCGGCATCCGCCACGGCGGGGTTCACGGGGGCTGGCGGAGGGGGAGGCGGGGGAGTTGCTTGCGCCGCTGGGGGAGCTTGCGCGGCGGGCGGTTGCGCGGAAGGATGCTGCGCATACGGCGACCTGCCTCCGCGCGGGCCCCTAGCTGCGCCACCGCCTCCCCCCGTGTACCCGTGTCCGCCATAACCGCTGCTTCCGCCGCCGCCAGTGTAGCCCTGTCCGCCACCATAGCCGTGCGCGCCAGCGTGCGCGCCAGCGGGCGCGGCGGATCCTGCGCGACGCGGACCATAAGGCGGAGGACCTGGATGTCTGCGCATCGCTAGTTAAAGATAGTCGGGAAGAATCCTACCGCTCCGCATAGACTGCTCATGATTGCTGAGTGACTCAGGCCGTCGTTTTAGAAGCTATTGTTGGACTGAATGCTACCTGGTCAGGATCATGATAAGTTCATCCCCGTTTGGACTAAGGCTTTCACCACTATCGGAACATTCCTTGCTCTGGTAGAAATTGGAGCTTGGCACTGGAAAAGATGCATTTCCATATGTCAATTATCAACTACAGCCCTAAACATTCATGTCAAATATTCTAAAGAGGAAAAAGGGCATTATACGGTATTGCTCATTGGCAGGTAACTCGTTCTCTATCCATTGATAATGCATGATATGATAGAATTACATCATCCATGTTTGTTCCAAGTGAACAAGGGCAAAGGGGCTTTGGTATGCGCAAACGTCATATTCTAAACGCCTGTATTACTATCATAGGCAGTCAACTTTTAAAGAAACACGTGTATAAATTTACTTTATTGCGTTTTACCAATCTAAGAAAGTTGTCCAACTATTTCCTCCCTGCATCACCAACAGCACGCACCACCTGTTTGGCCATTTCACGCTCGTGTCATTTTCTGTTTCGGTCTACTATGTAGTTCCACTGACTTCCGTTGGTTATTCTTGCACGTCGCCATGGAGCGCGGACGAAGACCCGCCATTGCCTTAGGCCAGCTTCTATTACGATGGTCTTCTTCGGCCCGACGCGTTCAAACCGTTGGCGAAACAGCTGCGAGGAATCAGCGAGCCTTTTCAGCTTGTGCGTCTGATCTAGAACGATCGGGGACTTATCGACCCGATCTTCATCGCAATGGGTTTCCCGCCGTCCGATTGCGTGATCTCTGTCAGGAACGGACCATTAGAAACGATTCGTTACAAGGAGGCCTCAAGTTCGAACCTGGCAATGCCTTTGATTCATATCAGCCTGTTCGAATCTCACCAAACTGGTGGTTGGATTCTTTATCTGGTTCTGCTGCAAGTCCCGTTCCGCTAGGTTTTCCGGTGCCAGAATCCACAGCCGCTCCGCTTAGTATTCCGGCACTTTCGGTTCCTTCTGCTGTTCACGCGAGAGACGGCCTACACAAGGGCCCGGGGTATGGAACCGCGGTGCCGCTACTGGCCAGCAGCGTGAAGCGGAAACGGCGGAAGAAGATGAATAAACACAAGGAGAAGAAGCGACGGAGACGGGACAAGAACAAGCGGTAATGCGTCTCTCCGAAGTTACTCCAGACCCGTGGACCCGAGGATTCCTGGTAGGTATGTGAAGCGCCGGCCCTTGCTCTGCTTGACGAGACGAATTGTAGGCAAATGCCAGATTCCAAAGCCGCTGCTGGCGAGTTGCTTTTTAATTTTCCTGATTCATTGTCTCTCATGAAAGCTTTTCCACAGTTACCAATAATTGCCTTGCTGAAAAGGAGTTTGGATACGGTAGCTTCGCCTGGGAGCATTCTTAAGACACCCTACACACTACCGTATATGGACCATCAACAAGTTTTCCATTACTGGTATCCTCATCATGCAGTCAGAAGAAGTCTCAGATTCAGTCAGTCATGGATTAATTTAAGAAGACATCTTGCAATCCAGCTGCTGGTTGGTTTGTAAGAATGTGGCTTCGATTTTGCAGGCAAGGGATGCAATGCAAGCAACTGAGCAGCAGTCCATGTAGATAATACAAGTGTGTGCACTCAGCTCAACCTCACGATGTGACCTCAACACCAGATCAGATATCGTGACACCAATGATTCGGCAGGAGACCTCATGTCAAAAGAAATACTGTAGCTGATCCAGTTCAGCCAAGAGCAGTCATCACAACCATCACAGCATGGTCAGTGGTGTATTTCTTCCACTGGCCCGTATGGTACTATGGTATGTTGTGAATAAAACACATCCATTGACAGTAAGAAAGCTGCTTATATTTTGCAGGTGGAACAACAAAAACGAGAAAATTAGCAGTTAATGCTGTACAAGTGTTGCTGAACATACTCACCATACTTCGCTCATCCATTAATCATACAGTGTCAGCGATGTACTGGGCACTGATCAACCATGTACAGGCACTTATCAACCGCCTGGTGTTGGGCAGTGGTATATCACCCATCTAGTGTCATGTGGTCATCTGGGTCGGTCAAGGTTCTCAGCAACGCCATCATTGCCAGCGCATTCTCACTGCCTCCATTCTGCTCTTCACAAGACGTATGTTGCTGCTGCCTGCTGCCAAGGTCACATCCAAATCCACCTGACTGCGAATGAGAAGCTGCTTGGCTGCTCCCGTAAAAACTACACCCATTCTCGCCCATGGTAATCTCCCCAGCAGAACCTGCACCCGCAGATGCGCCTACGGTTCCCGCAGTGACAGCAGCAAGCATGGCCGCATCCAGCTCCTGCTGATCCATGGCATCCTGAATCTGTTTCTGCAGCGAATCAGGGCTGTGGTGAAAAACACTCGGCAGGTCGGAAGATGCGAACCGGAAGTTTCCCTCGCCACCTGCCGCAGCATCTGCAGCGTAAAATCCAGACTGATTATTAAACAAGCAGCTAGATCCTGCCCCATTCGCCCTGCCTGTTTCCATTGGAGGAAAAGCAGGTCCCGAGCCAGCATTGACTGACTGGGCCTGATTTCTTCCAGAGGTCACCCATGGCTCCCTGCCGCCCTGCTCATCACTCGCCTTTACATGTGATAGCGCCTCAATGAGCTTCGTCAAATCCCCCTGCTGCAGCAAGCCGGACAGTGCAGCCGCTGCTGCTGATGATACTGCTGCTCCTCCTGCTGTTCCCGTCCCTGGGTCCGCAAGGGGCACTCCTGGTTGCGGCACGACCACACTACCCTCCCCAGCCCCAGCAGCTTCCCTCTCTGTCCCTCTATGCTCCTCAGAAACCAGAAAGGGGCTCACATTTGTGGCAGTGTGCTGCTGCCTGCTCACCCCACCGGCTGCTGCTGAAGCTGATCCATTACTGAAAGCAAAAAGGTTGCCAGTTTTAGCCTGTTCCTGCAGCTGCCTCTGGAGCTCGGAGAAAGCTGCTTCTGCGCTCATACTGGCACCGATTACACTGGAGTCAGAGAGCTGAAAGGTCCCACTTCCGAATCCAACCCCACTCGCGTCAGCCGTGGAAGCCAATGGTAGCAACGGGGACGAAACGAGCAGAGCACCTGAGTTATCCTCGGAAATCAACATCTTTGGTTGCGCTTGTGGGGGCTGCATGCCTGACGGCGATGCCAGCGGTGGTGCTGCTGCGGCAGCAGCACCTCCTGCTTCTACTGCTGCTGCTGCTGCATCAGCTGGAGAAGATGCAGCAGGCGCTGTGACCGACCGCGACATGCGCCGGGGCGGGGGCAGCTGCTGCTGCGACGCGGCATCGCCTGGCCTCTTATTCCCCGCCACTGGAGGCTTCTGGTGCGCGGACGGCAGGCGGAACGTGCTGAGCTGAGACAGCGGCGATAACGGCCTGGAGGAAGAGGCGGGAGCAAGAGGCGAGATCGGGCGGGAAGCTGTGGAACCGCTGCTGGGTCTGATGGCTGTTTCACCGGGAAGTAATGCCTGTGGGTGTGGTGCACTTAACGTACGCCCATGAGAACGCCGTGAGCCGCTAGCAGGCTGATGCTGCTGCTGGTGCTGGTTCTGCTTCTGGTTCTGGTGCTGGTTCTGCTTCTGGTTCTGGTTCCGCTGCTGTTGCTGGTGCAGCGGCTGCTGCTGCTGCTGCTGCGGCGGCTGGCCGCCAAAGCCGCCGCTGTTGCTGCGAGCATGGCCTGAGAGGCGGGCAGCGCGGCTGGCCTGGATGGTGCTCATGTCAGGCAGGCGCAGGAACTCCGAGAAGGGCGGCTCGCGGTAGTGCTGCGACGACGGGGTCAGGGCAGACGGGTTCAAAACACACGGGGTCAGGCCGGAGGGGGTCAGAGCCGAGGGGGTTAGGGCGGAGGGGTACCAGGAAGAGGGGGTTAAAGCAGGAGAAGAGGATGGTCCAGGGGTCAAGCCAGCAGGGGAGATGGCCGGGGAGGATGCGGATGCAGTGAAGGAGGAGGGGGTGAGGGCTGCTCCAGGGTCGTCAGTGCATGGCGTCACGGGTGCTTCTGCCTGCCCCTGCTGCTGCTGTGGGAACGGATCCAGCTGCGCTTCCAGGTGTTGTAGTAGCAACTGCTGCCGCCTCCACTGCTGCTGCCGCTGCTGCTGCTGCTGCTGCTGAAGCTGGTGGTCTTGATTATGTTGTTGATGCTGCTGCTGCTGCTGCTGCTGCTGTAGTCGTTCCTGTTCGTGTTTCTGTTTATGTCTCCGCTCTCCCTGCCTCTTTAGCAGCTGATGCAGCTCCTGAAGCTGCAGCAACTGCAACTCCCCAGCATCATCACAGTCCTCCTCCATCATACTCCATGCCACCCCTCCCTCTTCCGCCGCCATCCCCTCCCCTTCTCCCTGCCACGGCTCCGCATCCCCCATCCCACCATCGAACGCTGTTCCACAACCCCCAAACCCCTGACCCGCAGCCCACGGCTGGGAGCCCTGCTGCTCCTGAGCTGGCGGCCATGTGCTGACTTGGCAGTTCACACTCGTGCCACGTGGCGAGGAGATGGCAGCAGAGGCGGAGAAATACTCGGCAGGGGAGGAGGCAGGGCGGGGGATGAACAGTGGCGGAGGGGCGGGAAGTCGGCCCTCGGGTGGGCAGGAAAGAGCAGGGCGGGGAGGGGAGACCAACCCACCCTGACCCACATTCAAAGGCTGCTGCATAGCCACGTGCGGCTGGTGCATTCTCCCTTGCGCCTCATGGAGAAAGCGCGGTGCTGGTGCCGCCCCTTGTGTTTCTCGCACTTGCCGCGGTGCTGGCGCTGCCCCGTGTGCTTCATGCACGGGGTTGGGGGTTCTCGGGGAGGCGCTTTGCCGCGCCTGCGCGGCCAGCAGGTGCGCGAGAATGGCTGCCGCCGCCAGCTGCTGCTGGCTCTGCGCGGAGGAGGGACCCTGCTGGCTTGCTGCAGTGGCGGAAGGCGCACCTGTACCAGGGGAGGCGGATGGTACGCCAAATCGTGTCCCTGTGTGAACAGTAGGCCCTGTAGCATGTGGAGAGAATTGCATTGACCCAGAGGCTGACGTCATGCTGGAGGGTGACGTGGCAGTAGAGGAGCGGTAGGACGGGTAGGAGGCGCAGTGAGGGTACGCCGCAGCAACGGCCGATGCTGGGGAGAGCAGAGCGCCTGTCTGCATGGGAGAGTGGAGTTCCCGAGGAGAGGGAGCAGACGAAGGGCGTGGGGTGAGGGAGGCGGATCCGGAACCCGGTGACGCCACAGGTGACGTCAGCAGGTTGACTAGCGATTCCAGAAGCTGATGCTCCCTCTCTGCTGCGACCGCCCTGCTCCTGCTACCACCGATGCTGCCGCCACCGTTGCCACCGCCAACGCTTGACGCACAAGCGCGCTCGTTAACGCTCACCCTTTGATAGGTGGTGGCAGTGGCAGCATTGGTAGCGGCGGCGGTGGCGTCAGCTCTGCCTCTCGAACCCTCCAGTGGCGCGTTTGCACTGCCTGCAGCGGCGGACGTGGCGGCGGCTTCAAGGAGAACTGCAGCGAGAACCTCAAGTTCCGCTAGACTGTATGGCAGCCTTCCCCCGAGGCCTGCGTGAATTCCCGCCTGAATTCCCCCCTCTCCCGCTCCGCCTCCGCCTCCAGGCTGAAATCCAGCCGCAGCAGCACGCGCTCCGCTTCCGCCTCCGCCAGCAAAAGCGGCGGAAGCTCCGCCTGCAGAAGCGGCAGAAGCTCCGCCTGCCAGCGTGGATCCGATGACGTCATCGGGCAGGGAGAGCCTGAGGCGATCCGCGGCGTGGCGGCTGCTTCTGGGGGCGGATGCACCAGCGGAAGACGCCTGTGCGACGGTCGCGCCTGCGGAAGCCGGCTGCGCAGCAGCGGCGGAAGGGTTCTGCTGCGGTGCTGCGAGTGGTTGAGGCGGGCGGTGAAGCGGCGGCGGATGGTTGTGTTCGCCGAAGAAGGAGATTCGGAGTGGGAACTTGGGGTCGTGCTTGTGGAAATCGACCACGCGACGCGCGCGACACTCGGTTGGTTGGCGAAAGTGACTACAGCGATAGTAGTGCCTGATAGAGGAACATGAGGCGGAGAACGATGGGAAACAGGGACAGAATGCAAGATATGAGTCGCTGGAAGAAACTCGAAACTGACAAAACCGAGACGGCCCAGTTCACAAAACTAGGGTGTCTCATCGTTTGCACTGAGGGCGTGTACATTGGTTTTAAAACCACGCCGAGTTACGAACCTGTCGCCAACGGGATTTTCGGACAGCTATTTCCAACAAACCAAGCAACTGTGGGGGATTCGCGGCGGGCCGAAACTTTAGCGAACCGGAAACCAGAACCTTGGTGTTCACGACACACCCCTCACTCCAACCCAATCCCGTGGCGAGTCATCCGTCCTTCGAGCTGGAAAGCTGTAACTAAAAAAGACCCTCGTCTCAGCAACGTTGAAACCTGGAACAACGCCCTTCACACCCGTCAGTACCGTACTTGAGTTACTAACTGCTCACCTGCCGTGAGTTCCGCCCGTGAGCTGCTTCTGCCCGTACTTGAGCCACATGTACCCGTCGCGAGGTATCCGCCGCTTCAGCAGAGCCAGCCGTTGCCTCGCCGCGCGACGTCTGTCAATGATTGGAGGCAGAAGTAAACGCGGGGTTAGGGGTTGTTCAAACTTCTAGTAGTAGGGCTTGCGTCGCGCCGGCCGGATGCATTTACAGTGCCGTTTTGCGCAGCGAAATTCCACGAACGGAGCACAAGAATCGAGATGCGCAAGCACGAGCCCGACATACTGGGACATTGGTGGTTGTCCCGTTGTCGCCGGCAGAGCCGTAGGACCAATCTCCACCACTCCCGCCGTTCCTGGCGGCTGAGGTTCTCCCGCGGACACGCCGCTCCGACGACGCTCACTGAAATCGTCCGGCCTGCCAGGCTGCTCCACCGCTTGACAGGACTCTTCAGCCGGACTTAACGGCGGGCTCGAGTCTGGCCTTGCCTTTGCTGCTGAGTCAGCAGCAGGGCCCTCGAGAGGGCTTGGACTTCCGCTTAAACATTCTCGGGATTTCCGCCGCCGCGAAGGCGACTTGGAAATATCTCCGCCGTCAACGTCGCGACCGACAGGGCCGAGGTCTTCTGGCTCAGGCTTTAATAGAAGCTCGTCGTTCGCGTCGCGCTCAGGATGCTCCTCCACCTCCATCGCCGACACTACTTCCGGAGGAAGATAGGATGCTCGCATGTTCTCTGTGTTAGTAGTAAGAGTTGCTTCGTCGGAAAAAGACTCCGAACGGTCGCTCATTTCGATTGTGAGGGGCGTAAGATTGATGGAAGGATGCCGCAAGCCGAATCTGACCCCGGGAGGATGATTTAGTTATTTGGATGACGGGCTGAACCGTGCTTAGCCACTGGCTGGTCCTAGAGGATGTTCCGTACAAATACCGAGTCGTAGGACTATAATCATGCGGCGAAAAACTGGTCCGTTTGCGAGTCCTAGAACCACACGAGAGGCCATTGTTGTCGATGCCACGTTCCTAGCAGAAGCTCTGATGCTGATGGTCATGTGGGACTACAATAACCGCCACGGGTGTGTGGGTCCATGTCTTTCGCTGTCGTGAAGCGCCTCAAGCCGGGCCTGCCGCCCATGAGAAATGCTGTGATTGGAATGGGGGTTGAGTGAGCCTCTAGGAAGTGGCTTTTGGGATCTAAATGAGGCCAGGTGTGTAGTAGCCCAGCAGGGCGATGGCAAACAGGGTCACGACTCACGAGTCACGACTCACGCACACGCACCTCAAAAAGGAGCTCTACTGGAAGAGGTGGACTAAGGGAGCTTGCCTGAGCTGACGCACAGCGCAACTTTGTTGTACAGTCGATGCTCAGCCTATCACAAAACATTTGCTCCTCACAATTAGAGATTTAGTCACTCGCGAACGTTTTGCCAGTGAGTGACTAAATTGACCATTGTGCCGATTTCGGGGTACAGTCACCAAGTTGAGGAAGAAAAACATCTACAGAACATAAACAACAACGGTTGCCCGTCATCAGAGAAGTTAACCTGGTTACAAAATTAAAGCCCTTGACTCGATTCACGTTGCAATTTCATGTTACTGTCACATTTTTGCCCGTGGCGACAAGGGCGAACGTGGCGAAACGGCCAAAACTCGTTTCACGCACATGCCGCCCGCCTACCTGGTGTTCTTGAAATGGGCACCGACTGTAGTAACGCCACGGCACGCCGCCATCTCGTTACACTACAGTGTTAGTAACCAATTTGTCATGCCCTGCTCGTTACTGATCGAGGGTCGTCCTTTCTTGCTTTTACTGTATCTCAAATCATCGTCGCCTATGGTGCTTGCTTTGGGAGTTCCGTTCCCGGTCCCAGTCCAGCCCTCGCCTTGTGCAAATTCGAGCCATCCAACATCATCCACACCTTTTGCTCCTTCGAAGCGCGGCAGCATTTTTAGGAACACGCGCTTTCCTATGCTAACGCACCCAATATCGATTCATGCCTACCCTAGCATATTTCACCTTGATATATTTGAGAAAATCAATAACGTTAGGCAATTTGGGGTTTAAAAGTACGAGTTCAAGGAATAATAAAAAGAGGAAACCATTGCACTGCCCACTGACGCAGGCAGTGCAATATACTGTATTACCCAACACCCCGTGGTTGCGACGAGGCTGAAAGTTATTGATAACAAGAAGCCGTCACGTCAACAACAGCACACCGTCCTTGGATCAACATCGAGCACGGTCAAGCAAGTCCGCGTCAGCAGTTTCATATTGAAGCGAAATAAAATCTGAAACTGAGAGGGAGTGGACGGAGCAGATCCTTTCCTACCAGCGCCTTGGGTTGGGTGCAGGCCTGTCGAAGGCCCCGGTTGAGTCCGGAGCTGCTCAAAATCTGGCCCCGATTTTCACGGGCGCAGGCCAAATTCGAAACTTTAAAACAGGTTTTCAAGGAAAGTGTACCTTCCTCATGTACAAAGGTAGGGCGACCTGCTACTTAGCAGCTGGTATTGCATGCTTTCTACTCATCTACGAGCTACGGCCTCTCAAAAATCTTTTTTTAATGCAATGATATACTATAAAAAGGTATACAAAGCATTGGCAGTCGTAACTGCCACCTGCTTTTATTATACATTGGTCATAGTTGGCGAAACCATACGAGTAAGGGGGAGGGGGGCGCTGAATGTTTGGGGGGGATGTCCTCGAAACAGAAACCAGAACTTAGACTCAGGGAGAGGCCCAGTTTGAGCCCTAACGGTCGCGGGTGCCATGCGAACACTTGAAACAGTCGAGCTTCTCAGAAAGAAACCTGGAATGTTCAGGGCATTAAGGCTAAATGCCCTTGCTTCTACAGCCCTGGTTGGGTGCCCTACAAGGCGCAGTGCACAGTTCACATCACAAACAACACAAGCCCCCGTAGACAGGACACCTCAACAAGGCAGCAATCTGGGCCCCTCCCGCCGAATCCAACAGATGGGACAACGGCGTCAATTCTAACTGTAGCTTTCTGCTCATGCAACATATTCACCGTGTGTATCCTTGCAACATTATGAAACGGACAACCGCGAGCGATACAAACAAATCGCCCCTGCAACGGCCACCACATCCTTGCAACTGACTCCTACCTGCGCATTTTCACATCACCTCAGTCGCATCAAATCATTTCCCCCCAGCCCAACCCAAACCCATCACCTTGGCTTGGTCACATGCACTCCGTCTTCTTTTGGCCACGGCCCACGAGTCCCACGAGATTTCATCCTCCGCGTTGGGCTTCGTCGCTGGCTGTAGAACTAAAAGAACAGCAAGAAGATTTGAACAGCTTTGGATATAGAGTTTGTACATCATACATGTTTTACAAGTACCACAACAGAAACAGAAAATTGGAATAGAAGAATGCAATCTCCAGCAGCACTCCATTGGGTCTATGTGGAAAAGTCTACATTGCATTTTATGTTATATGTTATCCACCTAGAGGCATAGAGATATAAAAGCCAGAATTGTCTTGTGATTCAGGCAAAATACACGGCAAATCAGACGAGCACAAAAACGTACGTCTAATTTTCAGATGATCAGTCGAGCTAGATCCACTTGATATCCGGAGCTCCTGGTTCACCCCCATGCAAATACAAGCATGAGGATTTGCAGCAGCGGCAGTAGAACACATGAAGTGACGATGTGGCCCTCAGCTTTCATTCCTTTTCCGCTGCGAGCTTGACTGGAAGCCGGTGTTCCTTGTGCCGCTGCTGCATTGCCTCCCGTCCCCTGTCCAGGAGGAGAGCCAGATGATGCACTGGCAGGAGGTGGGGCACTGGCAGGCGATGGGGAGGTGGATGGCGGGCTGGTGGACGGCGGACTGGTGGATGGCGGACTGGTGGACGGTGGACTGTTGGACGGCGGGCTGGTGGACGGCTGACTGGTGGACGGCGGGCTGGTGGGCGGCGGACTGGTGGGCGGCGGACTGGTGGACGGCGGACTGGTGGACGGCGGGCTTGTGGCTTCATGCAATCCCACAGAATGAAACGGGAGAGACCAAAGAAAGCACATTGGTTGGCACATGCGAGTGCACAAACAAAAGAACGTATGAACTGATGTGTGCGTGGCTCAGTAGGCACACATGTAGAGTTGTATGTCGCTCATAAGGCATGAATGTAGAGATGTAAGTTGCTCGTAGAACATGTACCATGTGCGAGTGATCATGGGAGCATGCAAGAGAGATAAAAGCAGCTTCAGCAGGTGACAAAAAAAAAGACACCCAAACCACGATGTTACAAAAATGGTGAGACCAAGACTCAAAGGGATTTTCGAGGCGCCTCAAAAGTCAAACAATGATGAAGATGAGAATGGTGAGACCATGACTTGAAGGGATTGGAAGTGCTCAGTTGGGATCAGTTGGGATCATGGCAACGGAGTCGCAGACGTGCTGAAGGATTTTCACTGTGCTGCTCTTTCGCACGAGTGACTTTAAGCTTGTGAATTGGAAGTGGGTTGACTTTTGAGTCGACTCAAAAGTTCCCACGAGTGACATTGTGAATTGGAATTGCTCTTCTGGAATCTCAAGAGGTGTAGCAACGGAATTGTAAGAGGCGTTTGGATGAAGGAAAAGCAATACCTCATGCATGGATGATGAGGTGAATTACTGACAGTTGAGTCATGTGGGACAAAGGACGCAAGTGGGACGCAAGTGACATTGTGAATTGGAATTGCTCTTCTGGAATCTCAAGAGGTTCCCGATGGTGGTGCCGAGAGGGCATTGGCAGGTGTAGGTGCCGTTGGGGAGGGAGACACAGGCACCCCCTCCGCAGGGGTTGAACTGAAACGATGCACACACGTCAGCTGCAGTGGGGGCAAACAAGGAGGGGCAGATGGAGGGGCAGATGGAGGGGCAGATGGAGGGGCAGATGGAGGGGCAGATGGAGGGGCAGATGGAGGGGCAGATGGAGGGGCAGATGGAGGGGCAGATGGAGGGGCAGAGGGAGGGGCAGATGGAGGGGCAGATGGAGGGGCAGATGGAGGGGCAGATGGAGGGGCAGATGGAGGGGCAGATGGAGGGGCAGATGGAGGGGCAGATGGAGGGGCAGATGGAGGGGCAGATGGAGGGGCAGATGGAGGGGCAGATGGAGGGGCAGATGGAGGGGCAGAGGGAGGGGCAGATGGAGGCGCAGATGGAGGGGCAGATGGAGGGGCAGAGGGAGGGGCAGATGGAGGGGCAGATGGAGGGGCAGATGGAGTGTCGGAGAACCTTCCTCCTCTCAGCCGCCGCTCTTCTTCATTCACCTGCTCTTCACCCTGCACCTGCTCTTCACCCTGCACCTGCTCTTCACCCTGCACCTGCTCTTCACCCTGCACCTGCTCTTCACCCTGCACCTGCTCTTCACCCTGCACCTGCTCTTCACCCTGCACCTGCTCTTCACCCTGCACCTGCTCTTCACCCTGCACCTGCTCTTCACCCTGCACCTGCTCTTCACCCTGCACCTGCTCTTCACCCTGCACCTGCTCTTCACCCTGCACCTGCTCTTCACCCTGCACCTGCTCTTCACCCTGCACCTGCTCTTCACCCTGCACCTGCTCTTCACCCTGCACCTGCTCTTCACCCTGCACCTGCTCTTCTCATGCCGACTCTCCTGTTTCCTCCTTCTCCCTGTTGCACAGCCTCACTTACCCACAGCCTCTCATGCCGACGCTCCTCCCCTCCCTGGCAGCCCTCCCTGCTCCCCTGGCAGCCGTTCCCCCACGGCCTGGTACACTCTCTTCGGCTCCACCTTCACGAATCGCACTGGCAGTTCTCCTAGCGGCCCCTCCCTTTTCCAGTATCTGGTCCTAAACTCCACCCTCTCCATCCAAGTGCAGATGGTCATTCCTACCGCATACATCAGCTCGGTGCCCACCAGCACATCGAAGTCCTCCGACTCGGAAATCCCACACTTCATGCGGATTTTGGTTTCATGTGTCCCCCCCGGCAGCAGCGTCACTTCTATGGGCGTCCGTGTGCATGGCATCCATTTCGGCTCCCCCCCTTCCGCTGTCATCACCAGCATCCCCTTGGCCACGTGCCTCTCCGGAGCCAGCAGTCCCAGCCTCTCAGCCATCCCTCTGCCCAACATCACGCTCTGTGCCCCCGTATCTATGATGGCTGTCGTTACCTTCACTCCCTCCACTTCCATGGCTCCCTTTTCAAGCAGCAGCACCGAGGTCTGGCATGCCAGCCTCTCTTGGGGGTGGCGTGCGGGGGCTGGCTCTTGGGCTGGCTCGGATGGCGCTTCTCCCTTCACCTGCTCCTTCCTTCCTTGCTCTCGCCTGCCATCTCTTCCCCCGCTTCTCAGCCCCATCTCCTCTCTCCCCCTCCATGCCATGAGAGCACACTGCACGTCCTGCTCCACCTCCTCTCCCCACCCTTCTCCCGCGTACATTCCTGCCTCCGCCTCCCCCTTCAGCCCTGTTGCCCTCAGCTGTGCCTGCAACCTGTTAATCTGCCGCTGCAGTTCCTCTGGATGCCTCCTACTCCCCCCTTCCCTCTGGTAGCAATCCTTCGCCTCATGTCCCTGCCTTTTGCAGATTTCACACCGGGCTGCATCCGGGCATTCCCGCTTCCTATGCCCCGGCTTCCCGCACCCATCACAGTTTTTGCAGTCCCTGCGCAGATGGCCCGGCTGTCCACACCTATGGCATGTCCTGGTATCCGCCCCAGTCTCCCCTCGTCCCTCCGTTCTCCCTCCTCCTCCCGGTATTATGGCCGCCGCCCACGTTGGCCGCCTACTCCTCTCTGCTGGCCTGGGGAGATATGCCTAGAATTTCCTTTGCGCGAGCTCCACCCTCTCCGCCAGGGCGAACACCTCCTCCAGGCTTGCATCCGCTCCGAGCTCATTCACCCTCATCCTCAGCCCCCCTCCTAAGGCCTCGTCCAAGCCCCCCAGGAACTTGCTGACGAGAAGGCCCCTGTCCGTGCATCTCACGTCCTCCGCCACATTTATCAGCCGGTTGTAGTAGGTCAGCAATGATTCAGTCCGGCCCCTGCTGAATTCCTGGAACTCCCTTATGCGCTCGGCCGTGTGCCCTGGAAATTGCCGCTGCAGCCTCTCCAGGAATGCCTCGGTGGGGTCCTCGCCGTACCTCCCCGCCCTCCACAGCAGTTCCTCCATCCTCATACGGTAGAGCGTCTCGGCCTCTCCCTCGAGCGTGTTCGGCAGGCTCAGGAAGAAGTCTACTGGATCCATGTGGTGCCGGTCGCAGCGGTACCGCACATTCCCCACCTGCATGAGGTAGTTCTTGAGGGTCGGTCCTGCACGCTGATCACCTGAGAATCTGGCGGGCACCTCCATCCGCGGGGCGCCGTTGCTGCCCCCACGCCCCTCTCCCCATGCCTCACTGGCCCCTTCCTGCCGACTCCTCTCTGTTCCCCTCGCCCGTGCCCTCTGCATGCCCTCTCTAGCTTCCCGCGCCCGCTCTGCCCCTTGCGCCAGAGTTCCGCCTTCCGTTCTGCTCTCTTGGCGGCTTCCGCCTGCCTCGTACCGCATCTCCCTCGATCCTCCTCGCCCCTCTGTCCGTCCCCACTACACCGTCGGCGGTCCGTGCACCTCCCGCTCCTCCCATCTGCTCATCTCGCGCCGCGGCCGCCTCTCTGGCGATGGTGACCAGGCGTCCAAGTGCTCCCTCCAAGTGCGCGGCTGACGCCGCGGTGACCGCTCCCCCGCGTACTTCTCCCTGCGCGTGTGTTGTCCGTCCGGCGAGCGGGACCAGCTGCTGTCTCTCCGCTCCCTCTGCCTAGTCCGGCCTGGCGAGCGCATGGTGCTGCTGCGTCCCCCTTGCTGCTGACCGTGCCGCTTTGGCGACGCTGTTTCCGCCTCTCGCCCCCTCTCACCGCGCGGCTGCTGCTGTCCTGCCGAATGCGAAGCGCCGCCGCTCCACTCTCCCTGCTCCTGGCGCTCGCCGCGCGGGCGGAACTCGCCCACGCGCCCTCCCCCGAGGCGCCGCTCCCTCTCCGCCGAGCGGGACCGCTCCTCCTTCCCCTTGCCGCGCGGATTCGGCGCCTGCCACGCTCGATGGCTCATCTCTGGCCCGCCCAGCTCCTCCCGTCCGGAGCTCTCCGTGCGCCGCCCTTCCTCGTGGGGATCGTCTCGACCGCGCGATCCCGGCGGCGGGGCCTCTAATTCCGCGACCGCCACCGGGCTCGTCTCCGCTTGCGCTTCCGCCGGCTCGGTTTCCGCACCGCCCGTTCCTCCTGTTCGCGCCTCATTCGCCCCTTCTATCCCTGCCTCCTCGTCTGACCGTCCCGATCCTTCTTCCTCGTCCTCCGCGCCCTGCTCCGGCGTCTCTTCTCGAACTGCATTGTGCGGCGAGTTCTCTCCGCGAGCGACGCTACCGCCGCTCCCTCCTTGTCCGCGAGACTGCTCGCCGAACGCCAACCACCGCCCTCTCTCGTCGCGACGTCGTCCGCGCTCCTCCGGGGAGCGGAACACCCTTCCGCCGCGGTGGTTTCCGCCCTCCGCGCCAGGTCCGCGTCCGCTCTCCTGGAGCCACGCATTTCGATCCGCGCGTTCGGCGTGTCCTTCGTCATTCGTTCGCGCATCGGCTACTCGACCGTCCCTCACAGCAGGGACCCGATCGGCGCGGAAGGCGGGACGGCGCGGCGATCGCTCCATGGATCGCCCACGCTCTCGTGACGGCTCTCGGCGCTCCCGTTCCTCCTCCCGTCGGCTATACGCCCTACCCCAGCGCAGCTCGTATCGATCCATCTCGTTCGCGCTAGGAAGTTACAGTCCTAGCCCCCGTGATGCATTTCTCGTTGTTATGAAAGAGGCTGGTCTCTCACCCCATAGGTTCCCTCTTAGTGTCGTGCTGTCGTGTGCTAGAGCCTGAGACAATCAGATTCACTAGTGTAAGAGAATAACAACGAGAAAGCATCGATGGGTTGGAGGTGAGTGACCTTACCCCACCCCTGGCTGCACATTTCCAAATGTGCGGCTCGGGGTTGGGGTTCATTGGTTTCACATTTCGCCCTTCGGAGTCTTTCCCCCTTTTTATCTCAACCGCTCTTATCCTGTTTCCCCCCTTCTACACCCTCGCTCCTAACAGTAACTTCGCTACATCCTACACCTATTACTTATATTCTTATTCCTATCTCATCTTCCTATGGAATTAGTATGAAGCCCACACTCTACCATCATTCTACTGTTATTGCATATGCATTAAGTGCATATGCGGTGACAGGAGGGGCAGATGTGTCACCGAATATGCATGATTATGCATATAAGGTGCCAGAGTATGCGGTGTAGTTATGGTGTAGCAATGTTGAGTGTGCACATTGCAGGGCAGGTAGTTGGGGACCAGGGAAACTGACGCGAGGTGGGTAGGAGAGCACCGAGGGGTGGAATCCAAGGAACCAATGTGAACAAACCAACCCAGGCTCGAGCCGCACATTGAGAAATGCACGGTTCGAGCCTGGGCCAGGTAAATTCACTCTCTCACACACACCCGATGCTTTTCTCTTGTTATTCTCTCATATTAGTGGAAAGTTGTTACCTCAGATCTAGCATCTGGTGGCACGCCACTATGGGAGGACCTACGGGGTGAGGGAGGAAACTCTTTCATAACAAGAGAAAAGCCAGTGCGTGTGTGAGTTATGGACGAGTACGAGCTGCGTTGGGCTCGTCGTGAGGAGGAACGGCCGTGTCAGGGCCGGACGCATGAACGTGGGCGCTCGCTGGAGCGGTCGCCGCGGAGGCCAGCATTCCGCACGGATCAGATTCCGTTCACGCGTGAACGACGCGGAGGCGGATCAGTTCGCGAAGGCGGAGACGGATCGGGATCTGCCATGACGGGCGGCGATCCGTGGCGGCTTGATGGACGACGAGAAGAGGGAGGCGGCGGACGACGTCGCCGAGATACGGGAGCGCCAAGCTCGCCGGGAGAAGGGGAGCGCCGTCGCGGTGGAGGAGACCGCGGGAGCACCCTGGAGGACCACGCGGTGTTTGGACGGGGGTATTGCAGCGAAGGAGATAAGGAGATCTCCTGCGCCGACGAGTCAGTGAAGGCGAGGCGCGAGGAAGACGGAACCGAAGTCGACGAGTACGGCGAGGAGCCAAAGCACCAACGTGTGGAGGCGGGGACGCGACGCGATCTCCCGGCAGCACCAGGCGCATCGGATCAGGCGCCGGCGCGCGACGAGGCGGAGCAAGGTGGGGCGAATGAAGGAGATCGTTCGTCAGATCAGCGAACAGAGCTTGGCGACGACAGCCACGGAAAGGATTCGGCGCCTGAGCCACAAGAAAAGCAGGGCGACATGACGTATGAGCGTGCGGAAGAAGATCATCCTCTAGATACGCGTCGGCAGGACGAAGGAAGGCGAAAAGAGGGGCCGCATGCATCAGATCTGCATCACATGTGCGGAGGAAGGCGAGGCGACAGGTCGTGCTCGCCAGATCTGCATCGGCAGGGAGGGGGAAGGCGAAGTGATGAATTACGCTCGCCAGACCCGCATCGGCCACGTAGAGGAAGGCGTGACGCGTGGTCACCTTCGCCAGGGGTAGAGCGGCAGCATGGAAGCAGCCGGGACGCGCGAGCGAAGGCGAATCATTCGTCAGAGCAGCAGCGGGGGCGAGCGGAGATGCGATATGAAGTGCCCAGGGACGAGTTCTCACCTGATCCGCGTCGGCAGCGCGGAGGAGGGCGGAACGGAGGGTCGCGCTCGCCTGATCCGCGTCGGCAGCGCGGAGGAGGGCGGAACGGAGGGTCGCGCTCGCCTGATCCGCGTCGGCAGCGCGGAGGAGGGCGGAACGGAGGGTCGCGCTTGCCTGATCCGCGTCGGCAGCGCAGAGGAGGGCGGAACGGAGGGTCGCGCTCGCCTGATCCGCGTCGGCAGCGCGGAGGAGGGCGGAACGGAGGGTCGCGCTCGCCTGATCCGCGTCGGCAGCGCGGAGGAGGGCGGAACGGAGGGTCGCGCTCGCCTGATCCGCGTCGGCAGCGCGGAGGAGGGCGTAACGGAGGGTCGCGCTCGCCTGATCCGCGTCAGCAGCGCGGAGGAGGGCGGAACGGAGGGTCGTGCTCGCCTGATCCGCGTCGGCAGCGCGGAGGAGGGTGGAACGGAGGGCCGCGCTCGCCTGCTCCGCGTCGGCACCATGATGGGAGGCAGGGAGGCGGGGCGCGCTCGCCTGATGAGCATTGGCAACGAGATAGAAGACGGACTGGCGAGTCTGGCTCGCCTGATCCGCAGCGGCACAACGAGGGAAGGGCAAGGGGCGAGGCACGTTTGCCAGATCTGCAGCGTAAGCAGGAAGGGAGATGGGAGGAGGAGTGGCATCTGCAAGAAAGTCGCCGCGGGCATGGAGGAAGAAGGGACGAGAGATCCCCACCGCCCGAGAGGCACTGGCAGCGCGGAACGCTAAGGGAAGGATGGGCGAGGGCGCATTGCTCGCCAGAGCGGCAGTGGGGGCGAGCAGGAGCACGGATGAGTGCGGAGGACCTGCGAAGCGAGGCGGGACAGGACCAGCGCAGAAGCAAAAGGGGAGGCGGCGGTCTGGCGTACAGCACGGAGTGCGCCACAGAGGCAAGGGAAGGAATCGAGAGGGCAAGGGATAGGGAGTCATCAAGAAGGCAGACGAGAGGACTGATTGAACCATGGGGAGACGGTTGGGGGAGCATAACGATGGCCACGCGAGTGGAAGTGCCGGCGCGATTCTCGGGAGATCAGCACACGGGGCCTACACTTAAAGCCAGGATCTCAAGTAGTTTGGCTGTTTTGCAGTTAGTGAATTGTGTTAGGCTGTGATTGGTTGACGAGGTAGAGTAGTTGACGAGAGCTGAAACGAGGGATGCGAAGCAAACAAAAATCGCAGTGAACTTCCGAACCAACTAGGCACGGAAATCTGGTTGGGTTCCGAAGCTCATTTCCCAGCAATGTGTCTCGCCGAAAAATCTCATGCACAGCAATTTGTTTTGCAATTGAGATTCACGGGCAAATCGGGGATCAGTCGCACACTGAACCTCCAACCCAACCGCTCGATTTCGCCTAAACAAACAGGGTGACTCGAGCTGCAAGTGTTTTGCAATTGAAGCCAATTTCTCTTACTTGAGATCCTGGCTTTAAGAACTACCTAATGCAAGTGGGGAGTGTGAGGTACAGATGCGAGAGGAGCGGCATGGACTCGGTGGACTTCTTCCTGAGTCTGCCGAATACATTGGAAGGGGAGGCAGAAACGTTGTACAGGATGAAGATGGACGAGCTACTGGAGAAGGCATGGAGGTATGGGGAAGACCCCACGGAGGCATTCCTGAGGCGGCTGCAGCGGCAGTTTCCTGGAAATACAGCAGAGCGGATAAGAGAGTTTCAGGATTTCAGGAGGGGGTGGAGCGAGTCGTTGCTCACCTACTACAACAGGCTGATCAATGTGGCGGAGGATGTGACATGCTCAGATATGGGCCTACTCGTTAGCAAATTCCTCGATGGGCTGGACAATACCATGGGGAATGGGCTGCGAATGAAGGTTTACACACTGGGGGCAGACGCGACACTAGATGAGGTGTTTGAGTTAGCGGAGAAGATGGAGCTTGCGCAGAGGAAGTATGAAGCATACCGGCCCCGAACGACAGAGAAGAGCCGAGAACCGACATGGGCAGCAGTAAGGATGGCTGAGGATAGGGGAAGGTCAGAGGGACGAGGGGATGGTAGGGCAGGGAACAGGACCTGCTACAGATGCGGACAGTCGGGGCACGTTAGGAGAGATTGCAAGAACTGTGATTGCTGTGGGAAGCCGGGACACTTGAGGAGAGAGTGCCCAGATCCATCAGGGTGTGAAATCTACAGCAAGAAGGGACGTGAGGCGAAGGACTGCTACCAACGGGAGGGGACAGCAAAGGGGAACCCGGAAGAGCTCAAACGGCTACAAGCACAGCTGCAGGCACTCAGACCAAGGCAGAGATGGGGATGACGGGGAAGTAGGGCAGGATGTGCAACGCGCGTATATGGCCTGGAGGGGAAGGGAAGAGATGGGACTACGCAGTGGAGGGGAGGACAGCCAGCAGGAGCACCGACAAAAAGGAGGAGAGAAGGGGCAGCAGGCAGAGGAGCCAACTCCAAAGGACGTTGTGGCTCGCCACCCGCCGGACGGGCTAGTAAGCCAGATTTCAGCACTGGTGGTGAGAAATGGGGCGACGGCAATGGAGGGGGAGAAGGACAAGACGGTGATCATTGACACTGGAGCACGGAGTAGGAAGTTGGGGAAGGTCATGGCAGAAGAACTGGGACTGATAGCACCAGAGAAGCAGCTAGCAAAGGGGATGGTTGTGACGACGGCAGAAACGGGGGAACTTGAGTGGATGGCAAGCACCCATGCTCCGACTGGACTAACACTATTGCCAGGGAAGAAACAGGGGGCACAGAAGGGTATGCCAGCAGTAGCAGAAGCGGAAAGCAAGGCAGAGAGGGTGGGGGCACAGACGTGCACACCAGAAGTAGTAGAACCGGAAGGGAGAGAAGAGAAGGTGAGAACACAGGCGTGTGTACCAGCAGCGGCGGAAGCGGACAGGGAGAACGAGAAGGTGGGGGCATGGGCATGTGCTCCAGTGAGAACGGAAGGGAAAGAAGGGAAGGTGTGGGCACAGGCATGCACATCAGCAGTAGCGAAAGCGGAAAGGAAAGATGAGGGGATGGAGGCACGAGCGTGTATATCAGCAGCAACGGGAGCAGAGGAACGAGACGAGCAGGTGGGGGCAGAAGCTTGTGTATCAGCAGCGATGGCAGAAACGGGAGAACTTGATTGGATGGAAAGCACTCGTGCTCCGACTAAACTGACACCATTGACAGGGAAGAAACAGGGGGCAAGGAAACAGGATGCACAAGGAGGGGTGGAAAGACAGGAGGAGGGAAAGATGAAGACCGTGGGGAAGCAGGGCCAGCAGAGTAACTGGCAGCAGCCCATCCATCAGGTCAAACTGTTGGGCGGGATAGGAGCAGGGTCGGCGGCAGTGATAAAGCATGGAAACGCAGTAAAGCAGTGGATTTACCAGGACAAGGAGCCCGTCGTAAGGAAGATGGCAGAGCACCATGCCGGGTGGAGGCTGCACGAGAAGTCCCTAGAATTGTTGAGCAGGGAAGTGGTGCAAGAGGTGATGGGGAGAAGGGATCCTGTTGTGAAGATTGTGACAAAGGCGGAAGCGGCGAGCTGGGGGCAGGTGGAGTTGTTGGTAGCAAATTGGGAATGCCAGGGTGTTTCTCGAGCAGGGATGGGGCTAGGAGAAAGGGACCTTCGCACGAAACTAATAGAGAACCGGTTTCACATCATGAAACGGCTGCAGGAGAGGCAGGGCAGCATAGTGTTCCAAGTAGAATTTTTGGATTTCAAAGGGGAAAGCCGAGAGCCCACACGACAGGTGAGGAAGAGGATCACACAGCAGATGGGACTGGGGGCGAGAGATGGTACAGTAAAGGTGGGGGCACGAGCTCATCGGCTCGGGACGTGCCGGCAGAACTTGGTGCCCTCCCAATATCTGCAGGAGGAAATAGCCGGTGTGGGACGGGCTTGGGGGAGGAAGGTGCAGGGCATTTTAGAGCCAGTAAGGACAACGGCACGAGTGACTAGGAGGTGCTACAGCAAGCTTTACCCATGTAATCGGGGGGGACAGGAGGTACAGGCACTGTCAGCGCTGGGGGCAGACGAAAAGGGCGAAGAAGGGAAGGTGGGACCTGCTATGGTGTATGATCACAAGGAGGGCAGACGGGAAGAGCCCACGGCTCTGGAGCGAGAGTTAGCCATGAGGAATGGAGAGAACATCACGGCAGCCCCAGGTGCGACTAAGCTGAAAGGAAGGAGGGCGTTGGGGAATACAATGAATGAGCAGATGATGAGGTCGGAGTCACTACAGGAACGGGTACAGGGTGGAGGGAAAGCAGAGGCAGCAGCGGTCCCGCGAGGAGCCTGGTCCTGCATGGAAGGGGAGTATCCAGACTGGAAGGTGGGAGAGACAGTGAGCGAAGAAGGGAAGAAGGTGATGTTGGCAATATTAGCGAAACACAGGAGGCGATTGGCCTTACAAGCGGTGGGGAAGGGCAGGGTAAAGCAGAGGCAACGCAAGGGAGAGGGGAGAGTGCCGAAGGGAGTCTGTGAAGGACAGGAGGTATCCCTGAAGAGCGCGAAGCAGGACACACTGGATGTGGGGTTGGGGACTGTGCGATGGAAGGTCAAGGGGGTGCGCCCCTCAGGGGTGCTGGCACTGGACAATGAGAAGGGGGCACAGTTGAAGGAGCACCAGCCGAACACAGCTGTGATCAGAGGGACAGGGCCTCAGCGTGCTGGTCCTGTGACCCGCGCTCAAGCTGCTCGAGCACGGGCACAGGAGGGGGCAGAGAGTGGCTGAGGCAGGACAGGAACAGAGAAGAGCAAGAAGGACAGAAGGAAGGGCAGATGGCTGGCAATAGCAGTTTTCCGACAGCTGTCACCGAATATGCATGATTATGCATATAAGGTGCCAGAGTATGCGGTGTAGTTATGGTGTAGCAATGTTGAGTGTGCACATTGCAGGGCAGGTAGTTGGGGACCAGGGAAACTGACGCGAGGTGGGTAGGAGAGCACCGAGGGGTGGAATCCAAGGAACCAATGTGAACAAACCAACCCAGGCTCGAGCCGCACATTGAGAAATGCACGGTTCGAGCCTGGGCCAGGTAAATTCACTCTCTCACACACACCCGATGCTTTTCTCTTGTTATTCTCTCATATTAGTGGAAAGTTGTTACCTCAGATCTAGCATCCAGTGGCACGCCACTATGGGAGGACCTACGGGGTGAGGGAGGAAACTCTTTCATAACAAGAGAAAAGCCAGTGCGTGTGTGAGTTATGGACGAGTACGAGCTGCGTTGGGCTCGTCGTGAGGAGGAACAGAGAAGAGCAAGAAGGACAGAAGGAAGGGCAGATGGCTGGCAATAGCAGTTTTCCGACAGATGGAGGGGCAGATGGAGGGGCAGATGGAGGGGCAGATGGAGGGGCAGATGGAGGGGCAGATGGATGGATAAGGTGAAAAGTTTGTAGGTGCCATTGGGGTGGGCGAAACAAGCGCCCCCCGTACAGGGGTTGAACTGAAACGACACAGACATCAGCTGCAGTGGGGGTTGGCGTGAATGGAAAGGGGCGGATGGAGGGGGGAAGGGGTGGAAAGGTGGAGGGATGGGAAAGGTGGGGAATGTGACACCCACTGCAATTCTTGAGGCGCCTCAAAACTCGATGGGGAGGGGAAAATGGGCAACCTTGGCACAAGGGGAATACAGGCGCCCATGGCACAAGGGGAATACAGGCGCCCATGGCACAAGGGGAATACAGGCGCCCATGGCACAAGGGGAATACAGGCGCCCATGGCACAAGGGGAATACAGGCGCCCATGGCACAAGGGGAATACAGGCGCCCATGGCACAAGGGCTGAAGGGTGGAGCTAGAATCAAGACCATGCGCGTGCATCTGCTGCTGTGAAAAGGTGCGGAAGGATAGGATGATGAGTTGAAGTGGGATGAGATGTTACTGGTGACAGCATGAAGGCACCGACAGGCTGCTGTTTGGCATGTCACCCATACTGCCCATGCTGCCCATGCCACCCATGCTGCCCATGCCACCCATGCTGCCCATGCTGCCCATGCCACCCATGCCACCCATGCTGCCCATGCTGCCCATGCTGCCCATGCTGCCCATGCCACCCATGCCACCCATGCTGCCCATGCTGCCCATGCTGCCCATGCTGCCCATGCCACCCATGCCAGCCATGCTGCCCATGCCGCCCATGCCGCCCATGGCACCCATGCCGCCCATGCCGCCCATGGCACCCATGCCGCCCATGCCGCCCATGGCACCCATGCCGCCCATGCCGCCCATGGTGCCCATGGCACCCATGCCGCCCATGCCACTACCACGAACGCCACCAACGCCACCCATGCCGCCCAAGCCATGCCACCCAAGTTGGCACCCAAGCCATGCCACCCATGCCTCTCATGCCACCCATGCCACCCATGCGAGGCACTATGTGATCTGACTAGATGCATACGCGTAAAGTGCATGGGCAGTCAGACAGGAAAGTCTGACGTTCCATATCACAACACACACTCACATGCTTGCACTCACACACCCACCTGGTTGCACACCCACCTGGTTGCACACCCACCTGGTTGCACACCCACCTGGTTGCACACCCACCTGGCTGCACACCCACCTGGTTGCAAACCCACCTGGTTGCACGGAGCAGTTGGAGCAGAAGAAGGAGCAATGCTGGCAGAATGCTGACGTTGTCTGCTGAGTCAGCTCGCACCACCCCCCTGTGGCGCACTGCAGCCCTGTGTTGTCCACGTAGCTGGCAAGGGAGGAGTGGAAGACGCACGAGGGGAGATGCACGAGGGGAGATGCACGAGGGGAGATGCACGAGGGGAGATGCACGAGGGGAGATGCATGAGGGAAGAAAAAAAAGGAGCAGCGACAGGGTGAGATGGCGGATCAAGCGTGAAACACTTGAACGCCCTGTGAGACGCTTGAAAACCGGCGGATCAAGTGTGAGACGCTTGAAAACCGGCGGATCAAGTGTGAGACGCTTGAAAACCGGCGGATCAAGTGTGAGACGCTTTACTTACAGGCCTGTGAGCTGAGTAAGGTTGCCTAGAGATGCAGGAAGCGAGCCCTGAAGGCTGGTGTACCTCAAGTCCCTGCGGCAGGCAGCAGAGGGATGGAGAGAAAGACGACAGAAATGCAGACTTTTGAGTCAACTCAAAAGTTTCTGTAGCAGGCAGAGGAATGATAAAAGCATGCAGAAAGAAAGAAGACAAAATTGCTGCTTATAGCAAGCATGGATGTAGTAGCAGAACATGATAAAAAGAAAACAAGGCATTGCAGCAAAGGTGCAGAGTGGGGCAGACGGCACGAGGGGAGAGGGAGGGCAAGCACACGAGGGGGGCGGCACTGACAGCTGGCTGAGGGCGGTGAGGTGACCCATGCCAGCTGGCACAGAGCCCGTGAGGTTGTTGTTACCCATGGCGCTGGGCGGGGAAGAGGAGGGGGGGGGTTTGGATGAGGAGGGCAGGCAGGGCGGGCAGAGTGTTTTGAGACGTCTGAAAACACTTTTATTATCACAAAGCATTATCACCGAGCATTATCACAGAGCCCATGAGGTTGTTGTGAACCATGGCGCTGGGTGGGGAGAGGGGGCAGAGTGGGGAGAGTGGGGAGGGTGGGCAGGGAGAGCAGGGTGGGGCAGGAGTGTTGAGACGACTCAAAGCTGGCACAGAGCTCGTGAGGTTGTTACTCATGGCGCTGGTTGGGGAGAGTGGGAGGGTGGGGAGGGTGGGGAGGGAGAGCAGGGTGGGGGAGGATTGTTGAGACTTCTCAAGAAGGTGACTTTTGAGTCGACTCAAAAGTCAGAAGAGTGGTTCAGGTCAGGTGTTGGTGTTGGGTCTCAGGGAGGCATGGGGACAGCAAGAGAGAAGAAGAAGGTGGGGGACATCCATGGCAGCTGGGTCATGTCTCGTAGTGGCACAGCGCGGCAGGGAAGCAGTATGTATATGACGCAGTGGTGACACGTGGCAGTGGTGACACGTGGCAGTGGTGACACGTGGCAGTGGTGACACGTGGCAGTGGTGACACGTGGCAGTGGTGACACGTGGCAGTGGTGACACGTGGCAGTGGTGACACGTGGCAGTGGTGACACGTGGCAGTGGTGACACGTGGCAGTGGTGACACATGGCAGTGGTGACACATGGCTGTGGTGATACGTGGCAGTGGTGACACATGGCAGTGGTGACACGTGGCACTGACATGTAAACGAGGCTGAGGAGGGTGGTGATGGAGTCAGGAATGGACCCTGAGAGCTGATTGGCACTCATGTCTCTGCCATGCAGGGATAGTGATGCACATACAGTTTGCATAATGCCAAGCCATGCCATTCCATGCAATCCCATGCCCATGCCATGCCATACCATTCCATGCTATGCCATGCCATGCCATGCCATTCCATTCCATGCCATCCCATGCCATGCCATTCCGTGCCATGCCATGCCATTCCATGGCATGCCATGCCATGCCATGACTTTTGAGTCGACCCAGAAGTCAGATTTCAGTCCATTTAGACCTCCACAACCGCACCAGTGATGTCTCTTTGGAGTTGCAATGCAAGTAGCATGTGGCAATAGCATGTGTAGCATGTGGCAATAGCATGTGTAGCATGTGGAATGTGCCGTGTAGCATGTGGAATGTGCCGTGTAGCATCATGTGGAGCCGTTGAAACTGCAAAAACGTGCACAGCTTGAGCTACACAGCATTACACTGCCTGCTGTTACTTGATATCTCACACGCCAGCCATTGATCGTCCCATGGGTTGCGCAAGCATCATCAGCCCATGATTACCATGAATAGCATGGGATGGCATGGAATGGCATGGCATGGCATGGCATGGGGCATGGCATAGCATGGGGCATGGCATGGGGCATGGCATGGCATGGCATGGCATGGCATGGCATGGCATGGGGCATGGCATAGCATGGGGCATGGCATGGCATGGCATGGCATGGGGCATGGCAAGGCATGGCGTATAGCATACACGAGTATCCCTTTGGCAAGAGCGCCAAGGGAGGTGGGAATGGACCCGGTGAGGTTGTTGTGCCTTAGGTTCCTGCTCACAACAACGAGCACTTCTCACAACTGTTTAGCTTCTATCACTTGCAAGTATCAAGGATGTATGCAATCGATCGAGGATGTATGCATTCGATCGAGGATGCATGCAATCGAGGCTACATCACATGGTAAGCCGGTGTTCATGGTATGCTGGCGTAAATGGTAAGCGGGTGAACATGGTGAGCGTGTGTACATGGTAAGTCTGAGTAAATGGCCGATTGGTAACCAAGGGTTTCTCAATGGTGGTAACAGTATGTTAAGTTGCTAACCAGTGGTCACTCACATCACATCACATGCTACGACAAGTGACTCACAGGCTGGTGAGCGAAGAGAGAGCGCCTATGGATTCAGGAATGGGACCCGTGAGGCTGTTGTATGACAGGTCACTGCCATGCACACGCAACGAGATAGAGGTCTTTTGATAGACCTCATGAGGCCTACTGGTAACTCCAGCAGACACATGAGGCTGTTTATATGACAGGTCACTGTGGCGAGCATGCAACGAGATGGAGGAGACAATTAAGAATTCTCAACAGTCATTCCAGCTGACCCATGCGGCTGTTATATGAAAGGTCGCTGTAACGAGCATGAAACGAGACAGAGAAGGCGTAGGATCAAGAAAGATGATAGATGAAGAGTGAACAATCAAATGGAGTGAACAACTAAACCCTGAAACGAGTTCTCATGCAAACCAGTCCTGCTAGACTCTGGTTTGATGCGTGCGGTGCGAGTTACGGCGCCACACATCAAACCTCCACATGCAGGCCCTGACAGAATGACTAGCACACGGCGTAAGTGGCAGAGCAGCGCAGGTGGAAGAGAAGTGCAGTGGAAGAGCAGCGCAGTGGAAGAGCAGCGCAGTGGAAGAGCAGCGCAGTGGAAGAGCAGCGCACGTACAGGAGGGCTAAATTGGTGAGACGGGTGATGGCTGGAGGAATGCGCCCTGTGAGCTGATTGCCTCCCAAGCCCCTGATGGTGGCACCACGTGCATTGTGTTGCACGAGTGGGCACATCGTGTTGCACAGTTGGGCATAAGACAGATGGGGCTGATTGGGTAGGAGGAAGGTCATTTTCCGCACGTTTGAACACGTTTCCGCAGCCACACACATAACAGATGAACCCCACTGGGGTTTCACTATTAACGTGAAGAAACGGGCTCACAGGAAGGAAAGGGCTCACAGGAAGGAAAGGGCAGTGAGATTGGCGATTGCTGCAGGGATGGACCCAGAGAGGTTGTTCTGCGCTAGGTACCTGGTGGTGGTGTGCGGTGCGATGGTGCAGAGAATTATGATGCTGAGAAGGTTGATGCTTGCAGCAGGTAATGTGCACGCACATGGTATGATGGTACTGTGCACGCACTGCACATGGTATGATGGTATTGTTGATGGCGGCCTCTCT